ATATTATGTCATATAAAAAAGGTTTCCATAAAAGGACTTGGGTTTGATTATTCAGTTTACATGCCAGCTATATTCTGAACAACTCTTCGGCACAATAGTCCATGCCTAAGTTCGGTTTGCATAGCAGCTATGTATATGCTATATTGCTCCAATTACGGCGATTCTAATAAATGAGATGAAGAGAAAGTATGCAAAACCTTAGATCGATATCTCAAAAAGTGAGGGACTAGTTCACAGACGGGCATAGATTGTACGACTTAGCTCGCCATGCTGATAATTTATATAATTTTTTAGGGTCTACGACGTTTACTTCTGGGTGTTATAAACTTCGTGACAAACTTAATAGACCCTATTGAGGGTTTAAAAATAATATTTACAATTAAATTAAAAAATAATACCACAATAAAACATAAAAAGTAAAAAAAAAAATATTAATATAAACAATTTTTTTTCATATTATCAATAAAAGCATAATAAAAATATTGTTTTAATAAATACAATACCAATTAAAAAAAATTTTTGAAAATTATACAAAATTTAAAAAATATAGACCTTCTGACTTTTCTGTTGCATTCGATTTATTCGAAGTTACAAATTGTGCTGGTGGCGGTAAATAACTAGCTGGCGCTTTATCCAATAACAAACGCAATTTATCTTCGCTAGCAATTAGTTCGTTTAGACGGAGCAGCACCTAATTATTAGAAGATGGAAATAAAAACAGCTAACGATATTTGGCGGAAAACTATAACCATAAAAATAGCAACTGATAACTACCTTGGAGCGTATCATCGGCTCCTGTTGCGTTGAAAATGAACTGACTGTTTCGCGCATCCAATTTACACAATGAAAATATATATCTAAAATGCGTTTTTGCAATTGTTCGTCGTAATCATAAAATATTGCATCGCTATTCGACTCATCGAAAAACGTAGGCAATACTATAGCGCAACCAAGTAATGCATTTATTTGCTCCAAGCTACCTTGATACCGTTGCAAATGCAGTGAACGCACTAAATTGAAGAGTGGAGCAAGTACCACAACCGAAGATGAGGAGCTGCAATATAATCACATAAATCAACTTTATACTCATAGCAGTTATTTTGAAATGTTTACATACACAGAACCCGGCTTCAGAACCAATTCTGCTATATTAATAGCAATTGATGGTACCTCACTTTCCTCCATATTAGCTGTGTCGTCGATTGTATTAATACATTTCTGGTAATTCAATTCAATGCCACTAGAATTAAAAAAAAATAATTGTTATTAAAATTTAGTGGAAGCCTAGATTTTAAGATATGCAGACTTACAGTGTGGTGGTGGGTGAATTTTCCGCAACGAAACTATTTTGAAAGTAGAATGTCATAACATCGCATAACCAAATCAAATACGGTTTGTCAAGTTGTGTACATGTTTCGCGTTCACTGGGCATACACATGCAGCTAATTGCAAGTTCATCGTAGAAGAGTGCTAAAGATTCCGGACAGTGCACACAGGCCGACTCCACAAGCACTGCAAATAGATATTGAAATGGTTAATAACTCAAAAAATTTATTTTATTTTATTAAAATATTTACTTATAAAATTTGCTGCCATTTTGCCACGTCCATCAGGCAGCGCACTAGCGTTTGAATATGAAGTGTCGAAATCGTCATGTTCTATAATAGTATCCTCAATGCGCGCCATACAATCGATTAGTTGTACACTACCAATGATGCCTTGTTTTCTCACACTTTTCAAATAACAAACATTATAATTTAATCATAGTAAGAGTTTTATTTGATGTAAACTTACTGTACAGCATGGTTTATTATTTGCTTTTTCAAAACCATATCCAGCTGATCCTGCAGCACAGTACATTCGGAAAGCGGTGGTGGGGGAAAGGCTATTGAACAAAGTAACTCCATCGCCAAGCGGGTTTGTGAAAGTGACAGATCGCTTAGCCTATCTAACAGAGGCTTTAAAAATATGCATTGCGTGAACAAAAACAAGAAAAAACCTTAAATTCGGTGTCACTGAAGCTATAACACCCTTCACAAATACAAAAAAATCCACACAAAAACTTGATTTTGATCGGCAGCTATATGCTACAGTGGTCCGATCTGAACAATTTCTTCGGAGACTGTAAATTGACTCAGCTCGTCATGCTGATCATGTACATATATATTTTATAGGGTGTTACAAACTTTGCGGCAAACTAAATAAACTCTGTTCATACATAGAAATGCTATTTTCATTTACCATCAGAAGAGTTCCCCAATTTTGTATTTCAGCACGATATTTTCTTTGTAATTCTCGAAGTAGTTCCAAAGATAGAGTTGTTAGTTTTTGCGTTGATTTATCACACGTTAGTTGTAGCAGCCGCTTGAGTATTGTGCGTTGAATAGACTCACAAGTCTTAAATAATGCACTGAAAATAAATTAAATGAGGTAAAGTTGAAAAATACATAACATCTCTAGATAACATTACCCAAATGATGCTATGGCGAAACCTCTAACCACATTATGTTTCTCTCTTAGGAAATCATGCATCAGTTCCATAAGAGTGTGCGTGTGCTGCTCTAAAATTGCAGCATAGTTAGACTTCATTTCAACAAATACATCGACAGTTATATGCTCTAATTTTATGTGTCGACGTATCTAGTAATAAAACACTCACTGTATTAACATAACATACATAGCAGAATGATTCCAATTGACTTACAATATTCGCAAGATACAAATAGTTATCTTCTTTAATATGTAGTAGAAGTAGAAGTATGATAAAATCCAAGGATCTGAAAGAAAGTATTTAAGATATATTATAGAGAATTTTTGAACAATAGACAAAATTTTGTAACACAAACCTGAATTTGCTGCCTGGCAAAGAAGCCAACAATTTTTGCCAAATAGTATAAAATTTCTTGGAACGCACAAATGCCTGTTCTAGATAAGTAAAAAGTTCTTGTTGGATTGGGCAATCCATGGGTGTATTTAAACGCCACACCAGAATTTGACGTGTTGTTGTAACTAACTACAAAAATATATAATAGATTTGTTAAAAATGAAACCACACGAAATATATCGAACACCACCTCATTGACATTCTCATCGCTGCTATCATTTAATGCCTTCAAAAGAAAGTTCACTAATAACGGTAAAGCCTGATAAAGTTGTAAACATGAATAACATCATAAATATTATATAAAAACAAAAAAAACAATAAAAAAAAAAGAAAAGAGAAAAACTGCCGCATACCGTGTTATTAAATCCATCTTCTTTTATGTAATCTAGTACGCGATGACGTAGCTGAGACTGCATGCTGCGGCCTAAATTCAGATTTGTCAAGGATTTAATTGAAATGGAGTTGAACAAATCTTTGCTCGTGGGTAGATTATCTCTAAGAACAAAACATAAATATAATATTATTTGAAACAATGTAAAAGTTAGTAGCTAAAATGCGCATACAATAGCATGTGTACAAAATCATCATGTTTGCTTTCGTCCAAAACGAGCTCGGCGTTAATTATGATGTCCTGTCTAGCTGAATCACTGGCTCCTTTAAATGCGCTTGAAATTCGTTCAAATATTAAAGTACTATGCGACTGCGCGACATAACGCAACTGAACCATAAGCAGTGGTAGTAAAGGAACAGTTCCATTTCCGAGAAACAAAGGTGTTCTGAAATGATTCAGAAGTATAATTGTGTAGTTCCCAATATACTATATTAATATATATTAATTATTAATAATATTAATTATTAATTACCTCTGACTTGCAGCTTCCGTTATTTTCTGCAGCAAAACTTCAATAACGGCATCTTGTAAAAAGTCAACCATTAAAAAGTTTCCAATCATACTTTCCTGTGATTGATACACACAGTTTTGGTCGGGCACATTGATTGTACAACCGCTTAACAATTTCAAACTGTATTTACATTTCGGCGACAATGCATCATTTAAACCAGTTTTGAACATGTCTACATTTTCCATATAATTTGCACATTTCATGAATACTTCACGGAATTTATTAACAAACGTAATATGATCACAGGCTTATATTGATATGTAATATCATAATATGATATGTAAAAGATTATTAATATTTTCACTGTTATATTTTAAATACCTATACATACATAGTATAAAATTGTCCGCCTCGTCCAAGAGCACACCAGATTTAATTAGAACCAATTCAAAGTAACTTTTGGGTGGACGAACACTTGTGTTACGTGATTGTGTACGACCTAGTGTCGAAGCGATTGTGCTGCGTTGTGATAAGTATCGTTGAGTAGCCTCTTGAGATGCTGGTATGTTCTCTTCGCTACTGCCACCAACATCACCTAGCATGCAAATCTCAGCTGCAACAACCGTCTTTGTTGGTGGCTGTGTCTTCCGTTGACTGAGCCCGAGATTTAAGGAAGTACGCTGTGATATTGAATTTTTACATTTTGATTTTAAAGTTTTCCGATTTTGTTTAATCCAACGCCAATAGAAACCACCTTGTTATACTTACTGCGACTTTAATCGATGCATTTTCATCTATTGAATCTAAAGGTCTTTTGTTCTCACTAGACCCAGACGCATTTGTATCTTTGATGGATTTTTTATTTTTACCAAATTTCCGATTTTTGTACATTGTACGTATTGTAAAACAAAAATATCATTGAACAATTGTAAACAAGAAAAGACCGCGAGAATTGAATTAGATTTAACAAACCTACGCAGGGTTGCAAACATACATACCTTAACAAGTGCTTACACTAAGGGCCACAAGATTCCGAATAAGTTTCGATGATATCCTAAATGATAGAAATAGAGATCGCTACATTTACATGCGATTATTTCTGTTAAACAAAAATTATCGAAGAGAATAATAGAAACACTATTACTTCTGTTTACGTTACTTTGGAATTGTGACAGTTTCTCTGTGTTTTCTTTTTCCAGCACTTTGTGATAACATATAATGTGCAATCTATATAATCTTCTTTAAAAACCTCAAATGTATAAAAAGAGTATTACTTCTTTTAATATTAGAGTATTAGAAATTTATTATTAGATGGAGACAACATAAAATGGTTTACAGTAAATTTATACGGTCAGTGTTTATTGATCATTTAATTTTTATAAAATATTGCATCTACAACTACATATTTATTCTATTATTGCTTTATCATCTTAAAAATGTTTTTATTTAAAATGGCTATATAACTGACTATTACCTTTTTATGTTATTGCATGCTTGATAATAATTTATTTATGCCGAATTTATTACGGTTTCATATAAGTGTTTTCATAGGTATCGTGATATTAAAGTGTATTGTTAATTAATGTTTAAATTGACGATGTGCTTGGTACAAGTTTTATATAAATGTACAATATATATTTACTTATTGGGAAGTTTTGATAATAAGTGTTTAGGATTTAATTGATCATTTTTACTTAGTTACATATGCTGTCCTTACTTCTACAAGTTTTTAAATACTATAGAATTGAAATGTTTTGCCAACACAATATTAAGTGTTTAATATACATGCATTTAAATTAATCTTGAATAGTTCCTGCTCTTAAAACCATGTATGGTTTTTTTTTTTTCAAACTAATACTGCAATGTAATTTTTAATATGTTTTTACTTTTTGTTTTTATCTGATAATCATATTCAAAAAGATTTCGTTTAAGTGTTTCAAATTGTTTTGCATTCATGAAAATATCACTCTAATATATATGTTTTTTAGAACTTTTCCAAATTTTATATTTGTTTTTTCGTGCGGCGTCGTTTGAAACCAGTCATTTGCTTTAGTAATTGCGAGTTTTCATCATCCATATCTGAGCTGGGCTCCCACAAGCGTAAACGTCTCGGTATGTAAATGAGTCCAATTAAAGTTATTGCTGGAATAAATGAAAAAGCATGATTTAGTAATATTAGAACAATTCGTTATACTAGAACTCGTTAAATATATATGTATATATTCGTTCATATAATTGTTATCGACCTGTACTTACAATTTAGAACGCAGGGGAAGATCACATAAAAGTTCAATGTACTCGAACGGAAATATAAAGCTTCAGAAGCATAGAGAACCATGGTTAAAGCCAATGAGCAGCCACCCATGCTAACAACTCTGTAAGAAAATAATTGAGAATTTGTATGTAGTTCATGGCAGACAGAAGCCATATTATGCACTAAGTTGAACTGTCTTAAAAATTGTATATTTTAGACCAATTTTATACTTCAACTTTTGTAGAATTTGAAGTACAAAACATTTACCAACTGCTATTAACGATGTCGTAAGATACTTAACGGACAAATTTTACACAGATTTAAAAATAGCTACAAAAGTGGTGCCATCCAAACACACACTCCCTACATGAGACTAGCCAAGTAGCTATTATTGGCGTTGAAATCTTTTCAGGTTTTCAGGTACTTACGGTCTGTAGTGAATGTAGAGCGTGCAATGAACTAATGCAATCGCTTTTAGCAAGCAATACATGCCAATTATGCGGGATATTGTATAATCGCCTGAAAATATGCAAAATTTAATTTAATAATTTCTCATAATTAATAATAAATAAATATTATTTAATATATAAAAAACTTGTAGATGCTTATAAATAATGTTAAACTAATATTACAATAATTTATAATAATAATAATAAATCAAAGATTATACAACTCTTAAAGTAGTGGATAACAGCAAACTTAGTATTGCTCACCTTCAATAAATTGTGTGTCCGTATGATCCCCAAGGAAGCTCCTCCTTTCTATATAACTACGAAATGCTGTTCCTAAATCCATAAATGCGACAAATGCTATCCAGCCCCGAAAGGCGTATAGCAATTTGCGCTCCATTTTCGTTTGGTACGGCGTTTTGGCGATTTTTTTTTTACCTTAACACAATGTAATATATTTCTATTAGGTTTATATAGAATTATTTAACCAAATAGTTTTGCTGAAATAAAAATTAATTAGTTAAGCTGATTATAATTTTTTCATGCTATTTAGTTTTCATGCATTTGGAGTTAAGCCGAACTATGAAAGTAAACCGTTAATGGAAAGATGAGTTTGTTATTTTCGTAAAAATTTTAAGCTTGTTATTGTCGTTTTTTTAAACATGTAGTGCTTTTTTTCTACCATGTCTCATAGACATTTGTGAGCTAAAATTATTCACATTTTCTGTTTACAAAGAGAGTAGGTCTACTCCACTAAATAGAAATTTAGTTTAACATCATACCAGAACACACTTAATATTTCCTTTCGTAATATACCGTAATATGTGGCGAAAATAATTAATACACCTGCAGGGTAAGCAACAAATCACACATACATACACACATTACTTCAAGCAATAAATAGCTGTATAACTTCAAATGGCAAATAAAATCAATAAAATAAACCCTTTTGCAATTTACTAGTTTATTGCTAAGGTGGCAAGTGATGTTTATGCCACAGGTACACATCCGTTAATAAATCGCGTGAGATAGCCGTTTTTTCTGCTCCATCACAAGCGTAGAAAAATCCATAAAACGCTGATCCATCACAATGGCAATGTGCAATTTGCAAACATGCCCAAAAAATGCAAGTTTATACACACCTTTATATCATATATATCAACTTTTAATAGAGTTTTGTTTTTACATTAATAAATATTAAAGATATTATTTAAAAATATGTTCTCTTACCTTTGACTTTCCTTTGCTTCTTTTCACTTTTTAGCTTAATAAGTATTCTAAACCAAACTGTGAGTGCACTTGCCGAATAATGCGTGCATTTAAAATATGTAAGTTTGTTTGCTTTAACTCATTTATTTTTAATTTTTATGTTAATTTTAGATATGTTTCCCAGGCTAACTTTTTGAATGTTTGCTTGTATTTCTTTTCAATTAATATTCTGCATATGTGCTTTTCCGGCTTTTCCACGCTCTCCCAATTTGTTTATATACGTCGAAGAGAAAAGTTTGACTGTCTGACTGCATTCTCTACAGATGCCAATGTACCATGCCTCAGGCTGATTATTGTTTGCTGGCTGCTTAAAATTTTTTTTTGTGCCGGCACATGTGATGGACTTGCGCACTGAGTTGTTTATAAAAATATGGGTATTACTTGAGAATTTATGCAATATACCGTAAAATTGACTAGCTTTGGTTATAAATGCTAAATGTTATTTAATTTTGTTGGCTTAATATTTTCTAGCTGAAATTTTTACCAATATGTTTTTTATTAAGTTTAGTAGTGCTATATATCTTAAGGTATAGTATATGAAATATGTAATATAAAACTAGAAAAAACGTCAATTTCGGTTGCACCGAAACTATAATACCCCTCACAAAAATATTCCCTTTCTTTTTTTTAACGTTCAGTTAGTAAAGCAGCTATATCCTATAGTGTTCCGATCTAAGCAATTTGTTCGGAAATTATAGCGTTGTCTTGAAAAACAATGCATGCCGAATTTCGTGAAGATATATTGTCAAATAAAAAGTTTTCCATACAAAAACTTGATATTGATCGTTCAGTTCGTATGGCAGCTATGAGTTATAGTGGTCCGATATCAGCTATTCCGACAAATGAGCAGTTTTTGGAGGAGGAAAGGATGTATGCGGATCGATGTCTCAAAAACTGAGTGACTAGTTTAACGCAAAACACGCTTCTTTATATTTAAATAAAAATATCATTTCATAAGAATTTCAAATCATAACAAATTTAACATGGAAATATTGAAACAAAAAAAAAAACAATATGTACAAAATAAAGCTAAACAATTTTATTTAAAGAATCAAAAAATTTCTACACTTGTTTAAAAATTTTATGAATTTTATGGCTTTTTGTTATCATCACTTATTTGAGCATCCTCACTCTTGCGGTACTCTGCATAATCTACGTAACCGTCGTTATTCAAATCCATTTGCTTTAGCACATAATCAATTATGCCAGTCAATTGTTCATCGGAGTAAATTTTGCCTTTTGCCTCCTCAGTCTCATGATGCTCATCCGTTTTATCGTGCGCGCCTTGAACTATGGTTGAATGAAAATTGTATGCAAAATGTGGTGTTATTCTATTTTTATTACTAAAGCTAGATTTGCAAAAGTATGATGAAACCATGCTTTTTAACCAATTTAAGCTCACCAAAAACCAAACCCACTATATGCCACCAAACCTGTATCTTTTGAAGGAGCATGTGTAAGCATTTATATATGTTGTGCTATCTACTACTAGGCCGTATAGACGAAAACAATGAAAACTTAGAAATGTTTATATATATACATTGAATCAACAAAATCTGCGCCGACAAACTATGACAACTACTTATAGTAAAATTAACTTTTATGAGAAACCAAACGAAAAAAATCGACAAAAAATAAACAAATAAATAGTTATTAAACAAAAAAATAATTAAACAAAAACAAAAAAATAATTAAACAAAAACAAAAAACATTTTAGATCACGAAACCAATATTAATATTTCGTAATTGTAGTTATATTAAATTTTGTGTGTTAATTTCCATTCTACGTTACCGGAAATGACACGAATTTTATGCGACCTAGAGCTGTTCTTTGGAAGACCTAACCCTGTTTGGATGGGTGAGTAAAAATGTTGATTGTGTCTCTATATAAAATCTTACTTCTGCTCACGAAATTTGTTTTCAATATTTTTATTTATTATCTTGCCAAAATGTGCCACAATCAGTCAGTTTTCTAGCATGTAGTTATCTTATTTGCATTGAACAGTTAAGCACATATTTTTTAATTTTTTTAATTTTTGTCATTCTTTTTTTTTTCGTTGAATATTTATTATATTTAAATTTTTGTAGAAAATCTAACTTTATTCACATTTTATGTACCATAGATGTAATGAGCACAGTTCTAAAATACCTACATACAAATAAATTTACCTAAGATAATTAAATAAATTAGGTATCCAAAAAAGAAAGAGATTCGAGAAGAAAGAGGTTTGCTGAAATTAATTTGCTAAATACATAATTTGTTCGTGCGCACAGCTATATTAAATAGAAAAGTTGCCTTTTGTTTGTAATGACGACATTCAAAATGAAAAATTGTTAAAAAAAAAAAACAGAAGAACTAAAAAAATTACAAACAAATTCTAATCATAATTTTGCGCCGGAAAAATTCTGTCATGGAATCCTAAGAGTTCTTAAGTAGAATAGGGATAACAACAAATAATAAGAAACATATTTCATTGTATCTCTTATTTTCCACTTTGTGGCTGTTGCTGTTGCTGCTGCTGCTGCTGTTGTTGTTGTTTTTGTTGTGATGCTGCCACAGCCTTTTGTTGTGCCTTTATAAATTCTGGATAGTCAATATAACCATCGCGTGACGTATCATCCATTTGAAGAATGGGATCGATCAATGCCACTAGCTCTTCATCAGAGAAGATCTTTTCTTCCACATGTGGCGTCTGTTCGTTGTGCGGTTGCTCTTTGCTTCCTTGCTCTATAGTTAAAATCATTCAAATCAAAATACCGTACGATTTCCGAACATGCGATTATGCGTTTGATTGAATGAAATGAAAATATTTATATTTTTTTTTCCAAAACCATACCATTCACAGAGAATTATGGTTGTTAATGATGAAAGCAATGTACGAGTATAGTTTGATGTATGGTTGTTGATAATATATTCACGGTTTACATGTAAATAAAAAATAAAATATGATTAAATAATTAGATGAAAAATTAACTGTAATTGTTTATATTAGCAATACGAGCTTTATGTACTCTACGGTTTAGATCATATTCTTTAACAACCGATTTATTTATTGCGAAACACATATACATATTTTTAAATCATCATGTAATTGATTTCGGAATTTGATATACATATGTATATACTTGTACATACATGCTATATGTTTGAGAATTTAATATTTTAAATATACTGTTTTTCATATCACGCATCAGCAACAGGAAGGAAGTTTTAAATTCTATATAATTTTACATTAACGTGACCTTTTTTATGAAAATTAATAAACGGGAGGATGCGCACAAATGTTTTTTTTTTGTTTTTCGTAGTGTATACAAAGACAGTTGTTATGAGATTATACATAAAGTGTGTATGGGATGTCAGTGTAAAATACAAAACATAGCATATGTGAGAATGTACCGACACCGTATCAACAATCATACATACATTAAAAATTCGTATGTAATATAAGCAATTAAAACAACATACCATGCCAGTGAATAAGTGATTTTATGAGTTCACAACCGTCCAATTTGTTGTTGTTATCAGAATCGTGCATTTTGAAGTAGTGAAATTGCAGTTCTGCTTCAGACATTTTGCTCGTATCAATTGGAACCTGCATGTGCTCCTGAATGTGACTAAATAATATAATTAAAACACAATTAGTTAAAATAGTTTTACATTTATATTCCAATGAGTAATATGATAATTCCTACGTTACTTACGCTCTCTCATCTTGAATGTTGGCTGCATTCAACACTTGCTGTTGGCCATGATGAGCCTGATGAGGTGCATGTGGCGCTTGTTGTTGTACTGGCTGTGGAGGCTGTTGTTGGAATTGTTGCTGTTGTTGTGGTGGTTGCTGCTGTTGAAATTGCGGCTGTTGTTGTTGTTGATATTGCTGTTGCTGTTGCACGGGCACCTGCTGATATTGCACTTGCTGTTGCTATATTTCAACAAAAAATATTTGATTATAGTAATCGGCTTTAAGTGATTTCTACATTCTTTTTCTCACATAATGCTGAGGGTTAACGTTTGGCGCATGGTGTATTTGTTGTTGTTGTTGCTGTTGATATTGTGGCTGCTGATTATGCTGCACCGGAACTTGTTGCTACACATCAACCAATTTTCATGTTTCTTATTACAGTTTTGTATTTTAATGTATATAGTTAGTTTTACTTACATAGTGTTGTGGAGGAACTCCTGGAGCAACCCGTTGAGCGGATGTGAATCCAAATAACATTAACGATAACAGCATCAGCGAAAAAGCTGGTAACTGTTTTCGGTGGAAAGACTTGATTTCAGGACGCATATTGGCACACCTACGTCAGGTAGGCTGGGAAGCACGGCAGTGTAATAAATATTTTGAATTTTTGAGACTTATTTCTTATATTTAGTGCAACCTTTAGCAAATTGAAGGGAATCGAGTAACCACGTCAAATAAAAACCAGAGAAATTTACACGTATACACGTATACAACTTTGAAATGTCAAAACACTAGAGCTGTGATACTATACGATAGTTGAACAGTAACTAGTATTATCGGCTGCAAATCTGTAACAAATCCATTTGGCGAAGATTTTCGATTTTTTACGATCGGTGTATGTATATGGCCAAATTCGATTATCCACTTAATTTCGCACATGTTTACTCTTTGAAAGACGAACGTAAATGGCTCTGTATGTCGTGTATGGCGAAAAGATTCTTACCGATCAAAAACACAGGTATGTCGTGTATGACTACATTTACTTACAGCGTAAAAAATTAAACAAGTGTGATTATCGCTTAAGTGTCATCTCTAAACTTTTAAAATTTATATTTGTTTTATCGTTAAAACAAGTAATATATTTCAAATAATCAATATTTTATTTCTACACCGAAAGTTGCTTAATTTAATATCAAATTACCTCACTAAATATTTTATTAATTGTTTAAAAAATGCTTACACTGAACACCCTCTGAAACGAAACGTCACGGTTGAATGGAGAACTCTCCAAAGTGAAATATTTTTGTCGCAGTATTTACTTGAGAATTTTGTTTGGTTTCACATAAATTAATTTTATACTTTTATAAACATATAAAATAATACAAACACTTATAATATAATTACCATATAAATTGCAGAAATCTCTAATCAATATTTTTGGTGTTTTTACAAAACTTTAATAAGGAATATTAAAATGGTAATTAAGTTTTTATGTAAATATTTAAAAAATAATTACAAAGCTTTAGCAATTTTTATAAATAATTGTTTATTAATCTGTAGGCCCGTTATTTCAAGGAACAGGATATTGATGGTATGAAAAAATCTTACGTTAATACAATTGACTTTATTACGCTTCAGCCATATTTGGAATTTGAAACTTTCTAATTGCTTAATGCGTATACTTTCGATAAGTAACCTAATTTATCTTATCATTGCTAGAATTCCGTGAATGTTTCTATCTATTTGCCCGAACGGGACAGATAACATCTCTCGATGAGTTAACTGTAATTATGCGATCTCTTGGTTTATCTCCAACAATCCAAGAACTAATTGCATATTTAAAAAAGAAAGGAGGAAAAATGAGCTTTGCTGACTTTTTAGAAATTATGCATCAACATTCCAAAGTCGAGAAAATCCCTGATGAAGTAATCGCTGCATTTAAAGCGACCGACCCGCAAAATACAGGAACTATATCCGCAAGGCAACTACGAAACTTATTGCAAAACTGGGGAGAGGGTTTGTCTATCCGTGAGGTACACAAAGAATTATTACTTTTGTAAAAACTTTGTATATTTTAAATGAAAATCATTTTCAGGTTGATAACATTTTCCGTGAAGCTAATGTGAATAACAACAGTATGGTCAGATACGCTGATTTTATTAAAATAGCTTGCGCTCCAGTTCCAGACTACTATTAAAGTACATTTGCCTTTGGTTAAAAATAACTGCTTACAATATATGTATACGCATTCCTTAACTTCAAACATCCTTCAAATTTAAAACAAATAAAGCTTAATTTTATATACAATATAAAACCGTATATTTCAAAATATTTATTGTATAAAAAATTATACACGTTCTTTTTTTTAGTTGGCAATGGTAACCTCCACTTCTACGCCAGCTTCAATGTTGATTGATGTAATCTTTTTTACAATCTCAGATGGTGAATGCAAGTCGATGATACGCTTATGGATTCTCATCTGGAGAAGATAAATAAGTATATAACGTTTAAAACAGAAGATCTAAATTATATTTATGATTATTTTCATTTGTAAAACTCAGAGAGCCAGTTAGAATGAGAAATATTTTAAATGGACTATGTGAGTGCGTTTTTTATGGGCAAGTACATTAATACTGAACGAAGTGTGGTAAATACATCTAAGCTCTATATTATTTTTGCCATACATTAGATATATATTAATTACCTGAAAGCGATCCCAAGTTTTGGAACCTTCACCACAAGGTGTTTTACGTGTGGTGATGCGTAGAGTCTTGGTTGGCATGCGTACTGGACCCTGAAAAATAACCCAATTGATTTATTTTTAAAACTTGATCAAACTTAAAGCACGTGTAGCATGAACATAAATATCTTCCTCTGCATAACGACACATAGAAAGATAATGTCCAATTCAAGCTGAATATGTTATAGCACTAAACTAAAGACTAGGCTAAGCTTATTATTGTAAGCAAAGCCTCCAGGAAAGTGCAACCAGACACAATTACAAATAAAACATACGGCATTCGGCCTACCTTGACACGCAGATTCTGGTTCTTGGCACTATTGATTAAATCGCGGCACACATTCTCCAAAGAACGTACGTTCCTAGAAGTTAAAGTGATGCGAATGCGGTGAACTGATGCAGAATCAGCGCCTTGGGGCTTCTCAATATCCTTGGGAGCAGCAGCCTGGAATTGAAATAAACAAATTGAGGTTATGCTAGGATAGTACACGTGTTCACTATTATATCGAAACTCTTAATCGCTTTGTCGCCATAAATGCATATTTTATTATCAATTATGCATTATTTTAACAAAATCGATTGAATGCAATACTAATTATATACCATTTTAATAAAAAATCCTGGTCGAGGTATTCAAATCCTTAACTATTGAACAGCGCTGAACCAGAGCTGAGAACGAAGTGAACGAGAAATTGGTTGACATTCGTTGTGAACGAGACACGGCGAATTAAATAGATATCGATAAGCCGGAATACCGATAATTATCACAATCGAATTGTTGGCATACTTCTTCTTATGTTGCAATGCGCGTATTTTGTGTATGCGCGTTTTTAAAAACTAAAATCGTTATGAATTTAAGATGATTGATATGAAATAACGCCAATTAATGGGTGTTACTCTTAAAAATTGTCTGAAATTTTGTTGTTTTTATTGATAAAATTAATAATAGAATACAAAGAAGAAGAAGAGTATTCCCAGTATTGCATGTTATTGCAGTTTGCAATTGTAATAAATTTTATATACGTTGTAATAACTTTGGAAAATTTCAAAATTAGACAGAATTTAACTTGTGGAGAAAAAGGCGAAAAAAAATTTACAAAATATTTGCTTTATTTTGTACAGACACACAAACATATATATATATATCTATTTTCCCGGGCTTTTCATCCACTTCCTTAAAACTTCACACAATTTCCTGTTTGATGTACTTATATTGTATATTATATTTTGTTAAAAACTATAATTAGAAAGTGATAAATTGATAGTAAAATATTTAATTTCCTTAATTCAAAAAGAATATATTTTATTCTCAGCGAATATTATATTCATAGCTATTCTTTTCTTGCGTGATCCAATTATTCAAATATATTTGTTAGCGAGGTAAGTTTTAAACTAATTAGAGGGAAATAATCTAGGAACTTCATTAGCAGCAATAATTAAAAGCAATGTTTACTGCAGTTTATGTCTTCACATATGTTTGCAGGTAAGTCAGAAAAATAAATTGTTTGAACCAAGCAGAACCAACTACCTTGAGAACCTTATATATATAATATATGTATTTACACCCAAACCAACAATAAGTTATGAACTAAGAATTAATTCAGACAAATATTTGTATTCTTTTATATTTATATGTATTTAAATTTTTACAAACAATAATACATTTAAAATATTATGATACAACTTTTGATTTCGCATCTTTTAAGGCTCGTTATGATAAATTATAAAAAGCACATTTCTTAATTAATTTCAAATATACTAAAGACTTTTAACATTACACTTTATAGTTTGCTCTATTGCATCTGCTTTTCTTGAGTTTCGACTTTTGTGGGTTAGTATATAATAAAATTTCTAAGTTTAAAGTGATAATATAAGTATGCATGTATATCAAGTAAGACTCAAAACAAAATATATTCATTAACATAATCCTTAAAATTGATTAAAGTACACAATCGAAGTTTCTGTGCAGTTGACAAAGCCAATTGTGCAAAAACACACGTACGGGTAAAAATTAATGAATGTTGATTATGGACTCACGGCCTTTGCCAACTCCAACCCATTGTACTGGTACACTCAGCTCACTTTCTAGGAAACGTACATACTTTTGTGCATTTTCAGGCAACTCCTTGAAATTGCGAATGTTTTCGGTGCTCTCTTGCCACCCGGGCAGTGTTGCGTATTCAACAACAATTTCGCCCAATTCGGCTATTGTGCCTGGGAAATGATCCAAAGTCTCCCCATTAGCGCGTTTGTAACTATAAAAAAATATAAATGTTATCCATTTGCAATGCAAACTAAATCGTTTTATACTTACGCAACAGCCACTTTGATTTCTGGTAAAGTATCAAGTATATCAAGTTTCGTCAAACAAATGCTTGTATAACCGTTTACAAGTGAGGTATATTTGAGTAACGGAATATCTAACCAACCACAGCGACGTTTTCGCTTTGTTGTAACACCAATTTCACCACCCTTTGTCTGAAGCAACTCACCAATTTCCTAAATACAAAATACGTAAAATAAAACCTTAATTTCATACGAAAATATTATAAATACCCACATTAATTTGTTCGGTGGGGAACGGACCATCGCCTACACGTGTGGTATAAGCTTTAACGACTCCAATAACATCACCAATAGTCTGAGGTGGTAAACCCAGACCAGTAAGTACCCCACCTATACTGCAATTGCTGCTCGTTACGTATGGATAGGTGCCAAAATCAATATCCAACATAGCTGCATTGGCACCTTCTACCAGTATCTTCTTGCCTTGGCGCAGTGCAGTGTGAAGAAAACAAATGGTGTCTTTTACATAGGGCCGAATTTTTTCCGCATACTCCTTGTATCGCGCTAACTCAGCTTCAACTTCGATATTAATAGAAGGAAAAAGACGCAAATGTGTTGCAACAATCGATTTAAACCTGAAATCATAGTTTTTTTTTCAAACATGTTTATAAAGAACATATGTAAATAGTAAAAATTCTGCGATACATTTGCAAGTTTACACTTACTTATCAGTGAAGATATTGAAATCTCCCAACAATTCGCCCACGCGAATGCCATTACGTGTAGCCTTGCTGGAATAAGCCGGACCAATACCCTTCTTGGTGGTACCGAGCGATTTGCCACCCTTTTCGGCCTCCTGCATACCATCCACCAATTGATGGAAGTCAAAAACCAAATGCGCGCGATCCGAAATAATCAAGCGATGTTCGAGCTTTTGCAAACCCTTTGCCTCATTTTTAGATAATTCTTCGAACAATGATGGTAAGTGGATGACAACCCCGTTGCCTAAAAGTAATTATCAAACTTATCATTATAAACACATGCATACATATAAATGAAATTAATCAGATGTAGTTTATGGGAATATTTTATAACACAATAAGTTTTTGTTTCAAAGTCAAGTCAGCTATATGGTTTAGTGGTCTGATCTGAACAATTTGTTCGGAGATTGTACCGTTGCCTTGGGCAAAAGTTCGTGCCAAATTTCGTGAAGATATCTCGTCAAATAAAAAAGACTTGCATACAAGAACGTGATTTTGATCGTTCAGTTTGTATGGTAGCTATATGCTATAAGTGTCTGATATCGTCGGTTCCAACACATGAACAACTTCTTGGGGAGAAAAGTACGTGTGTTATATTTCAGTTCGATGTCTCAAAAACTGATGGACTAGCTCGGGTATTTACGGAAAGACATACGGACATGTTTAAATCACCTCAGCTCGTCACGCGGATCATTTATATAACTTAAACTTTATGCACCCCGATCAGGATATAACAATAATAATTAATAAAAACAGTAACAGGGTGGTGAAATTACGATAATTTTATTAATGGCATAATCTTGTGACATTCACCGACAGCGCCGCTTCAAGTTAAATAAAACATTGATTAAACATTTTGAAAATGAAGTAGTTATTCTTGCGAACAATTACTCATGCAAAGATCATAAATATACATACATCATAAATATATATATATATACAATGTACATGTGTATGTATTATAAACAAACAACTACTTCTGGTTGTAAGCCCCACAATTTCAAATCATCAGCATTGATGTGCGTGTCAAGCGATAATTTGTCGTTACGAAAAATTATTCGCTTGCCGAAATAACTACCGCAATTATGAAATTATCCCTAACTATGCTTTATTATAAATATTTATAAATAAATTATTAAAGTTATGGTAAACGCATTTATATTATTCGTGTAGTTAAATCTGATCTGTGTTATCTTCTACAAATTTCTTGAGAAAAGATAAAAATGTTGATAGCATCGTATTGCTGAAATATGAATAAAAAGTGTACATATATGTACATATGTACTTAAGGTTAACTTTGTCTTACAATTTCGTGATTACCCTTCAAAAACTTTATGGTAGATACGTATGTACATACATATATATGTTTGCGTTTATTAGATAAAAAAAAGTGCATTTCGGCAAAAAATGTGCTCGTTTTGGCCGTGACCGTAAACTAATAGAATAGCCGACACAACTCAAAATCACTTGTGAGATACTACATTCACCTAGACTGTATGTTGGCCACATAATACATAAACATATGTATGTATATGTATATTTATTTTTGCTATTCCATTGAAGTAACGTATGCAGAATGAGTGTGTGACTAGAAGAGGCTCTTGCCAACTTTTTTCAAGAGCGAATTTTATAACAGGGGCATTCGAGAGTGGCGATGTTTATCTTATACCATATATCTTATAAAAATGTTAACTAATATTATTTTGCATCCTAGCTAATTTACTTACCAATCACCGATATACACTTCTCATTTACAATTCCACTAGGTAGCAAATGAAAATCGAATTCAGTGCCGTTAGCCACAACAGTGTGTCCAGCATTATTTCCGCCCTACAATAGATATATATTTATATTAAGAAATATACTCGTATAATAAAATATAATTTAATGTATGTGTATGCATGTGCACTGTGCCCATACAAAATACGAAAATAAAATAGTAAAATTATTTATCTTTTGTTTTTTCTGATGGTTAGCCAGAAAGTGCATATCCATACATACATACATACACGTATATGTACATATGTATATAATTAATATCTTCGTATGTCTAGCAGTATAATTCAAATCAAATATAATATATATGTAACTATGTATGTATGTATACAAATTAAACCCATCACTAACAACAACACATTTACCTCCTAGTAGAAATACTAGGATTAAGCAGTCTATATTTCTATAATATTTGTCCACATGGCAGGGTACAAATATGTGAGAGATATGTTGAGTAGAAAGAATCATAAAAACGGAACTTAATCGAAAAGAATACTAGAATAGAATTGAATAAAATATAATAGAATTAGAGAATAGAATATGATTGAATTGAATTGAGGTATGCACTGTGCCATGAGATCTATTACGCCTTCCCCTATTTCACTGGGATTCACATAAGCCCATCAATTTGATATATTCAAGGATCATGGCGCCATTGAGGTAACGTTCTCTCTACTCGTATATCGCTACACAATCTTTAAGTAGTTCGGAATTTTAAGTTCCTTGTTGCATAACGGACAATTTACAGAAGAATATGTGCTTTTTGAGTCTGCTGTGTCCAGTAAAAAGTTTCACTAGTAGTTTCTTTCCCTGAAGGTTTATAATTTATTTAAATCTTATGAAATTATAACCTTCTAGTAACAGTTTTACTTGGCACAGGCGTGTAGTTTGTCAATATCTATATCTCTCCAATTTCTTCCCTTTTTGGAACAGCTCCTTTATGGTGTGTAAATCCACCCCGGCAGAAAATTAATTCCAACTAAGTTAAAAGAAATAAATCCAAATTAGTTCCGGTTACGTAGATCCGACTGTTGTGCGAAAGGGGAACGAATATATATTTAGTGTAATAAAATTTACAATGTCTATTAGCGCCAGTCCGGAAACAGTCTAATTTACTGCAGGGATAGATAGCGCACGTAAATGCATATATAAAACCAAAATACATACATATATGGGTATGTGTATATAATAACATACATAAACATTGTTTGGCAAAAGTGCAAAATGTACTAAAATTTGTAGTATGTACATACATACATATTTAAATGAACCATGAGTAGCACACATATAACTCTTGTAGACACAAATGTATGCATGTGTACGCTATTACAAGAATATATGGTGTATATATACATATATGTATTAAATATCCTTAAAAAATATCATAATTTTTCGATTAGTAGATAAGTCTAACCCAATCGTAATGACGGAGTGTATGTTTAAGCAACCACAACTACATTTAATGTAATCCTTAAAGGAGCACCTCAATAAAATGGCTTAGTACAAATTGTATTTCCAAACAGCTAAATTAAAAAAATTTGCTTATTTAGATTATGTTTCTATTGCTGCATCCCTTAGTAAACAGTCTTAGATAGATACGTTTTTTATATGGAGTAGTAATGTTTATATAGAGATCGCGCATTCAACCGGTAACGAAAGCTGAAGCGACTCTAAAATTTAATTATTCAAGTACACACAAAGCTGTACTCATACGTACATGTGTCCAATTTTAAACCGCTTATTTATTACATAAATATGTACACGTAAAGATCTGTATATATCCATAATTGTATGTACATATATACTATATATAAACGGTTACAGAAATTTCCGTAAAATTTACAAAGGTACATGTTCACGTACATATATGTGTGTATATATGCAAATATAGATAGGAATATGGTTAGATAAGATAAATGGTGTTAATTATTTACTCGCCTATAAATGAGTGTTAACGATCAGTTTTATGTAAGAACACTCCAGCATTTTAAAACTTGTAATCATTAGGATCAACATAGTTTACAGATACATATGTATATCCGTAATAGAGGATTATTTATTAACTAATTAATTAGGACAAATTAATTATACATGTATCTTTAGTATAATAAAACAAGCCAGCATGATTACTAAAAGACGTAAACAAGAGATACTAGTTATAAGCTATTAGTCGCGCGGTTATATATATGTATGTACATACATTGCTTTCATATGTAGAAATAGATTAGAGAAATACGATTGATTGTGTGTGCATACCGTCCAGGCTAGCAGCGCGACAAAATTGAATCACAATTGTGGGTTATTCACCAACTCAAAGTCGAATAGAACGCAAAAACTATATGTTATGTAAACATTGAAACGCCAAAACACAAGTATAGAAAATTTTGCTGAAGTAATCATGCGTATCCAATGTGGATGTGTTTTATGAATGAATGCTGTAGCAGGTAGTGAACATATTGCTACACAAAAGGAACATCGGATACCGTTATCGAATATTATAACTCCATTTTTTTTTTAAATATAAGTATTTCATCAGAATCAACATTTGAGTGTTTCAAAAATGTTTCGAATGCCATTTTTCTGCTAATAATATAGTACAATAATGTTTGCCATGATTTTTTGCTCACCTGACACCTGCAAACAATGTCCACTTCCAGCGCCAGCATATCAACCACCTTACCCTTGCCTTCATCGCCCCATTGAGCTCCTAGCACAACTCCAACCTTGGATTTGTACATGTTGAGACGTCCTTGATGTAATGTCTCATAGTTACTCCCGTTCACAACACTGCTACTGGATTCCGTCATCTTCACACGTTTGGTCGGCGTCGGTGGCGCTATTTTGGTAGATATTCTGCAGTCGACCGAAAATACACAAATACCGATCACTGTCACGAACGTACCCTAAGTACTTTTCTCGACACAAGCAAAACTTGTAAAGAAATCACAGGGAATAGAAAATCACATTTATCGCTCCATTCAGCATGTGTATGCCATATGTCAGCTGTCATTTGTCAAACAGCAGCATGCGCACTTGACTTTTATAACAGAGTTGTCAACGCTTATTACTAAATAACCGCCTTTCCCGGCTATAATTGTGCAGCCGTTTTTTTTTTGTTTGGAAGACAATATAATCAATTTATGGTAACTATCATTCTAGTTGTTTAACAATTATTCTGTATTCGTACAAACAGCTAAAGGTATAAGATAGGCTAATACATTTCAAAACAATATGTTTTATTGTCCACAATTAAAGCATTTTCCATTTTCGGTAACTTTATACCGTTCGTTTGGCATCGATAATTATTATGTTTTAGCTATATACAACCTCATTGATAATTTCTTTTGCAATCAACTTAGTTTCCATAATATTCTTCATAAATAGTATAGCAATATTTTAAATCCTACATAGGAATGAATTTTATTTTTGTCACGAAATCTTTACTTTTATAAGTAAAAATGTACATGTGTAATGCTTTAATTTTATATGCTTTACTTTCTTAAATCATGTCATAAAATATTGCAGCATAACATTTTTAACTAGCAATAAATATGGTAATAAGAGCAACTAACAGTATGTATTGTTCGTTAATATATGAATTATTTTCTCTAAAAAAATCTGCAATAGCGCTTTGTGTATGCATAGGAATGAATTTTATTTTAATGTGTTACGGCAGTTCTTTGTAAATTTTTTTTTTGTAAATACTGTTTGTGCACATATTTAGATATTATCATTTCACTTCTATTTGCCAAAAACTTCGATTATGTACATATTGGCACACAGCCCAGGGAGAAAAACGCTTGGCATCCCTTGAATCTGTGTTAGCATGTGTTATAACCATTAGAAGTCGCTCTTGACCAAACCAATTTGGTTTATGCCAAGAACGATAGAAACAAAAATTTTGTAGGTAGGAACGTGTATGGGTTTGCCATTTCATTTACATGGTGCATTTTCTTTTAGATTAATATGGATTCACCTCAATTTCGTACAGTTTGTCAATTGTAAGTATTTACTTTGTAAATTATCTAGTTTTAATTTCTACTTGTTTTCAGCTGCGAAAAGAATGCATTTAAATATACTTGTCCAAAATGCAATGCGTTGTATTGTTCTATCAGCTGCTATAAGACTCCAGAACACTTGAAATGTACAGAAGCATTTTATAAATCTTGTATACAGGAAGAACTATCAACAGATGATTCTAATGACATGAAGAATATATATGAAATATTGAAGAGTATACATGAGACAGACGCTGGAATAGAGCACGATTTTAATACAGGGAAAACGGAAAGTGATTTAGATGAGGATGATGTTTCTGATGATGATGATAACGATGCCAATGATAATGAGGAAGATCTTGAAGATATTGCGACACGTTTGCAAAATGTTGATATAAATGATGCGGACGAAGTCTGGGAACATTTGTCATTGAGTGAGCGTGCTGAATTCAAAAAGTTGATTGATAACAAGAAAATAATGGATTTAGTGCCAGAGCATAAACCGTGGTGGTCTTTAAAGAAAACAAAAATAATAGAGATAAATAGCACCAATAATGATACTCTTGTACCTGAAATTGAGAAAAATATACCAAAATTTTCGAGTATTTTTAGTAAAGCGCCATCACCGTGTTTGCATTATAATTTATGGAATATATTGGCCTCATATGTAATGATGGTACGTCACTTCAATGGCGAACATTTTATAAACCCAATTGAAGCTGTTGCACATTTGGTAAATTTAAGCTTAACTTTGAAATTTGGAACAAATTTTGAGAGCGTCGACAATGCTCTTAGAACGGTGGAAATTGAAGCGCTTAATACGAACGATGTTGGCCTAGAAATGTCAGAAAATTTCGAACCAACTTATTCGGTATCATTATGCTCTTTACTAAAACATGATGCCGAATCCGTAATGTCGTCCTGCTATAACAAACTAGCAGCACTTAGTGACATATATCGTTTAATAAAGAAGGCCACAAATCATTTGAAAATAAGTAATTATAAAAAACACAGTGATTTTTTCAAATTATTTGCCGTATGTAACGGAAGTGTTGTGCTGGAACGAAAAAAATTGTTGCAGTTATCAAAAAAAGTTGAGTTTCTGTTATCTTACGTTAATATTGACAACGAAGAACTACTAGAGTAGTACACTAATTAATAATCTGTGTAATAAAACATATACATAATATATGCATTTCTTACAATGAAAAATGAATTGATTGTGTAAATTCAACTCCTGAAAATTAATTATATATTTTTAATGTTTCTAACGATATATTTCGCAAGGCAGTATATATTGTCTTGATAATTTTATTGCTGTCAATATAACGTTGCATCACCGCATTCAAGTATATCCACCAACTAGCTCATGTACATATGGCAATGTGGCTAGCAATAATTTTGTGTGGACATTTGTTATCTGGATAAAATCATTTGCCATTTGACGTTGGACAGGTTTGCTTAATATATTGAAACACTGGCATCCCATATGAAATCAAAGCTATCTGTTATATCCATTAGAGGTCGCACTATTGTTTTATGCGATATATACCCATGTCGTGGATTTATGGCATTTTATGAAGTTGTTTACAAGTCGAAATATTTTTTTTTGTTTTGTGATTTATTTCATTTGGTTCATCCTTCACTTGGAAAATTTGTCTCACGTTAAATATGGATCTAGCTCACGAAGTTTGTCAATTGTAAGTATTTGTGCATTGTAAATTGTTTAGTTTTCATTGCTACTTTATTTTCAGCTGTCAAAAGGTTGAATTCAAATATACCTGCCCGAAATGCAGTGCATTGTATTGTTCTAAGATCTGCTTTAGGAAGCCAGGACACAAGAAATGTACAAGTTTATTTCACAACATCTTTCGCCAATCTTCATCGTATAGTCAAATGGAGCGTAATGAAGTTATGATGAGATATATGATTTTGAGAAAAATGCTTGAAGTACGGAATGGAAGCAAAAAGGAAAGAACAAAAAGTGAGAGTAGTAACGAAAGTGAACGTAGTTTCTGGACTGGGGATGTTGGTAATATTGGAGATGATGGTTTCTATTCTCATATTGGTGATGATTCTTTTGATATTTGTGAAGATTCTAATGATGATTGTTATGATTCTAATATTAATAATTTAAATGATGGTGGTGATGACATTGATGAACTTGATGATGGTAATGATGATGTAGATGATGACGATGATTCAAATAGTGATAATTTTGATGATAATGATGATGGTGATGACGCTGATGGTGTTGATGATGAGGATGATTCAAATAGTGATAGTGATAATTCTAATGATAATGATGATGGTGATGACGTTGATGCTGATGATGCTGATGATGATGATGATGATGATAATGATGATGATTGTAATAATGATGTAGATAAATGTAATGATAACGACGATGATGATGACTTTAAAGACGATTCGACTAATGATGATAACGAGGATGATGATGATGACGATGATGGTGATGATGATGATAATATTGATGACGATTACGCTGATTATGATGGTGATGACGTTGATGATATTGGTGATTTTGATAATTTATGTTATTATATTGTTAGCGATGATATACTCGAACTTGCAAGGCAATTTTGCTATTCGCTGAGAGCGCGGATATTAGAAAGACGATCGAAAGTATTAAAAGCAAGATTTGATTTATACAACATACCCTACTGATTATAGACAAAGTAATCAGTTTTTTTTCGAAGAATTTCAATATTTTCATACTCCAAAACTTGCAAAATACTAAATTCAATTGTGGTTGCAATAAGATTTTACCTAGCCCTACAGGTATGGTATATCAAGAAATTTCGAACGACCTGGTGTTCTATTAAAAAAAAAAGTGCAGGACTGTCTAATACGTAAGATTACAATTCATAATATTTTTGTATTATTTATCATTTAGGTAGTAACGGATATTTATATAGTTAATAAATAAGTCGATTAATTATTATACTTTAATATTGAAAATATCCCTTGTATTTGCACCTGAAAACTTAAGGATAATGAATGTTTGTATATGTTTTAACGACAAATAAAGACTGATCTACATTTATTTTTACCTCACATCATTTGTAAACAGGAATTTATGGAAATTTTTAACATTTTGTATATGGGTTTTTATGCATTATGTATGCCCTTTTAAGATTAATCGAAATATTTTGAGTCAATTCATAAGAGAGGTTCAGAGCACCTGATGTTTTTTCTCTAATGTCAACACTGTAGTTGGCTTTTCAAAAGCTCTTTGTAGAGACATAGTGTGTAGTAATTACAATGGAATCGTAAAAATATTCGATAAATTAATAAAAGTTTAATTACCTAAATAAACATAATGGGCAAATTCATGTATATTGGTATGTACATGCATATGTTTCAGGTTTATTTCATCTAAATCTAAAAATATTGAATTAGATATTACTTTAATATACTTAAAGGGTTAGTAAAACCTAGTTTATTAAAAAGGCTTGTATAAAAATGTAACTGCAGTTTATATAGTAAATTTTATTGAAATGGCTCCATTGTGTTATCAAGGATTCATTTGGCTTAAATCACTTTCTGATTTGAGGTTATCGACGCTAATTAAGCAAATGTTCTTTATACCTTATCTGTTAAAAGGAAAATACTATAAAACCCGCGGTCTGCCAGCGATACTTCTTCGTCCATTTGTGCCTCTATCAAGAAGCACGAGCCGAAACACCTCCAGCAACAAGGTTTGCATGGGTAAACATCAGCTTATAACAGGCATTTAAGGACTCTATAGTGTAATCATGGACTGAAACCTTTGGCCTGATGCCAGATCACCATAAACACAAAAATTATCTATTTTTCTGTTAAATTTTCTTAATATTTATTCCAATTTTTTTCAATCTGTTGGTCTCAAAGTGATGCTACCTTTGAAATTTTTGTGTACAATGGATAAAATATGCATTTTCTCCTTTGATAAAACAGTAGAGGATCACCATTTCACAGATTGTAAAATTTTAGCACAACAACCACACACGCAAAAGAAAATATGCAATGGTTATAAATTGTGCTACACCAAAGCCCATATTAATTCTGGTGCAATGAAAATGGCAAAATAATTGCAGCCCTGTGCCACACAAAAAATGAAAGGATCGCGAAGTACTCCTCATAATTAAATACCTGAAGGAGAAGCCGGATTTTGAGGCAAGTTTTAAGTTAAAATTTTTAAATCAAATTTTTAATCTAATTCGTTGATCATTCTTTTCAGGCTCCAACTTACCAAAAATTACAGTTGGATGCCTCTTGGGAACTTGTGCGGTGGAAGCTGCGGCATTTGAAGTCGCAGTACGGCAAAGTTAATGACTGGCTGGCTTCAACTGGTACTGGACTGATGGAGGAAACTCATGGAAGTACCATCGCAGGTTGGAAAATTTGAATGTTACAACTTGCATTTATATAACCATCTCTATTATATTTTCAGCAAAAATCGCTAAAAAGTGTCCATATTTTAAACAGCTGAGAGAAATTTTTGGCAAACGCGTGCCTACTATTGAGTCGTTAATAATCACGCCAGATGTTGTTGCCTCGTCCACCTCTCACATGTAGCCAGAGAGTTCTGTTCCTGTTAAAGTAAAAGCTAAAGGTGAAAACAACATCGAAGTACCAAGCGCTGCGCTATCAAATGTCGCAACTTTTTTCTGCGCCAGATATAGCATATAGCTTTCATACAAACTGACCGACCAAACTTAATATCCTTATATATATTGTCAAGGTGTCTTCACGTAATTTGGCATAAGCATTATCGGAGATAAGGGCATTATTATTTAAAGCATTGCTACAATCTCCAAGAAATTGTTTAATTGACCAGGGTAACCGAAGTTAAAATTATTTCTTGTAAAAACATAAATTAGATCAAATACTACTTTATAATTAATATTATTATTTTTTTAATTTTTAAATGGAATAAAAATACAAGTTTCTAATAAAATGTATATATTTAATACGCCTACCATACATATTTTTGTGTATATAGAATTACATTACATTTTAATATTGGTCCGTCATTAGTATTTTTATTTTATGTACCTTTGCGAAATCGGTTGTTTCAAATATTCTCGATTATGCTATCATGCATGTAATACTATTTCTTATCACAGGTTATGTTTAATGATAATATGTATTATCTCTGATTTGTATTCGGTGAGTGATCTGTTTCAACATACAAGTATTATATATGTATGCGGAAACTATAAAGTAAATTTATAATTTTATAATTTATTTAAATTTTTAAAATATTTTAATTTTAAAATAACTATTTTTGCATGCCGAAATCAAATTTTTTCATTCTTTACAAATGCAATATTTCTTAGCCTCTTTTAAATTAATACAGCTTGCGGTGCTTTTATATGAATCCAATCGAGATATATCTTCAACATTAATTGAAATTACTTTCGAACTTCTATTGTAAATTGCTGTCGCTTGAAATGACGGCTCTTTTGGCAGTGCTTCGAAGGTGAGCCGGTACGTTGACTGATTTGGTTCATCAATCATTTTTAATTCAGCTGAATTTAAAGACTTCAAAGTCAAATTATCGCATTTATCTCCAATATTTTTGTTAACCAAATATTGATTGATTTCGTTAAATACCAGGCTGGTTAAATTACTTACGAGCTCATCATTTATATCTACTGTTTCATATGGTACACATGTACACCAATGCTCGGGAATGCCAGCATCAGTACAGGTGCGATTCTCTGGTATTTCATTAAAAATGCTAACACCCTGTATGGTTCCATTGAGGTAAGGAAATTCATTTTCCGGTTCAGCCACTTCAAGTATATGTTTCATGGTCGCATAAATGTCATATGGCGTTGTTAAACGCTTTTGATTTATTTGTAAGTTTTTCATAAAATCCGGATATTCGTTTTGATACCACGACGGTATCGATATAAACATTGTGGGTAATCTTTCTTCTAAAAAACCAGATTTTAACCATAGTAATGAACCCCAACGCATCCCATGGTCTGAAAAAAATATCACAATGGAACGTTCGAGAATGCCGTCTCTCTTCATTCTTATTAGATATTCTAAAATTTTCGTGTCCATTGTTGCTGGGGTATCAAAGGCATTATGACTAAATGAGTTTGTCCAGAATAGTCCAAAAAGTGGATCAGCAGGAAAATTATTCGCAAATTGTAGCATAAAATCAAATATGTATTCAGCATGATGTTTGCGACCAACGCAATATTCCAGACCGGCATTTTTCACAATATCTAATTTTTCGGTAAGGGCCAACAACATGGGCCTGAGGTAATAATCTGTCGGCTGTTGAAAAAAACCACACTTCACATAATTAAATGTACTCATGACATTACAATCTTCTGCATATGCTGTTTTATAACTGTAATTTTTAAAATTATTCCAAATTAGATTACAAATCGGGTCATTTAAACCGCCCACAGTTGTTGGACGACATTTTTCTTTTCCTGTGGTTAAATTGTACGATGTTAACAAAGCCAACAAATTAGGAAAAGTATTATCGCCTATCTGGAGAAGAAAACCAATGTTAAATAAATTTAAAACATATTGTTTTTAAATTGAGTTATATTTTTATACAAATACATTTTAGCAAATATAGAAAAATCTTGAGCTTCGGTTGCAACGAAGCTATAATACCGTTCACGGGTACATTTCTTATAGCACAAAAAGGTATAAAACGATCAGTTAGTTTGAATGGCAGCTATATGGATAAGTGATCCGATGTTCTTGGAGATTTTAGCGTTGTACAGTAATTTACACCAAATTTCGTAAAACATATACCATATATATATATTATATCAAATATAATCGTTTAAAATAGAAGAACTTAAGTTTTATCCGTCAGTTTGTGTGGCAGCTATATGCTATAGTGGTTTGATATCGATGACTTCGACAAGAGAGCCACTTTTGAGAAAGAAAAGCACATGTGCGAAAATTCAGATCGATATCTCAAAAACTGAAGAGCTGGTTGGCTTATATACAGACTGACGGTAGCCAGACAGACAGCTCGTCACGTTGCTCATTTATATATGTATATAAATGTATCTATATATATATATATATATATAATGATAATGAAGAGAGATGGCATATATATATATGTATATATATATATATAGGATCTTCAACGTTTCCTTCTAATGATTACAAACTTTCTGGCAAGCTTAATATGTCCTGTTCAGGGTATAAAAAAGTATTATATTATAAAAGTAGTTTTTTTTTTTTAAAACAAAACTAGAACAATATGATCATTGTGTCGAAATCAAAAAACATTCGACCTAAAACTATTTTTGATTTCCATGATTAGTAAATTTATTTTTATAAAAGAAACTCACTTTGTTATAACCTTGCAACTCGAACCAATTGTTCATTTGCAAATAATTAAAGGTATTCGGCATGGTACGTCGTAAGTTTATACGAGAAAAACTATCTATGCCCAACAACAATACATTCGGCTTCTTTCGTGAGGTTGTGTGCTTATTATTCGAGCTAGTGACACTGTTATTTTTTTGTTGAGCGAATGAGAAAGCATCTTTTTGAATGATAGTAGTATTTGCTTCCTTGCTCAATGAACATTCGGTAATTATATAATCTATGTGTAGTGGTACCATAAAATCCTGAAGAAATGTAGAGCATGGCAGTAAACTAAATAATAAAAAGAGAGTAAAAAAATAGTGTGGTTATAATCAAATTGTAAGTACAATCTTTGATCCACATATACTATAATTTAAATATCGTAAAATAATTAAATCTTAAACCATTGCAAACTCGTTAATATTTGTATAATATTAGCGAATACATTAATATACATATGTAAATACAATACTAAATTTGTCATCTATATATAAGCTGTGAACCGGAAGACGGGAATCAGTTTGTTTTTTATATAAGAGGTGGGCGAAAATATAGGCCAATACCTCTCTTATTGGTAGATTTATCCTTTGTCAAGTTATAGGTATATACAGATGAACGATCAATACACTCGTTATACAGAGGAAAGATGAAATTTTACGGTGATTCAAAATGTGTGTTTATGTAACGACTTCGTGAATTGGAAATGAAAGTATTGTAATTTAACTAGGCTAGAAATAGATGAGGTGAAGCTTCTTAAAATAGTGTTTAAATATTCGGAATTACTAGCTTTTCCCGCGCCTTCGCTCGCATTGAATCTCCTAAATAAATATCAAAGATTATTAACAATACCAAATAACTAAATACATAGTATGTACACGAACACTATACCGCTGTGATCATCTTCGTGGTGGTGGTGTTAACCCAAATTTTGTCTGTTTAACACTTTTGTTGCATTTTTGTTTTGCTTGATTTTTACTCAATTTTGAAATTTATTTTACAAAGAGAATTTCAAATTCTTGAATTGAAATTTATTTCATCGAATGTAATTGCAAACTGATTTTGCAAAAAAGAAACCTTCTGCAAGAATAACGAATAACTGTGCAAATTTTCACGTCTTTCCGATTTTACTCTTATCATAAAAAGTATATCACCGAGTTTCAATACTAGAACTCACAGATTATTTCGGCAAAAACTCAGCCATAACGACTGGGGTTAACATATTCGGTATCTGGGGCCTAGAAAAGTTGTGATCTGATTTCGACAATTTTTAGACCTGAAATTGAATACCATACATGTACTATTTGTGTAAAGTTTTATTTCGATAACGTCGTTGACTCTCGATTTATAAAGCATAAAATAAAAGAATCAGATTTGATTTAAAAATGTTATATGTAAGAAGTAGGTTCAAATTGTTCGAATATTTATTAGGATATAGGATCTCACCTAAAGGTGTTGTTTAATTTTGATACTGGTTCCTATAAAGTCATTTCGTATCATCTTGGGTACAAAATTTAATGCATCTAACACATTTATTTCGTGAGTTACCTCAATTTTAGTAGTATCCACCATAACCGTTATTTGATGATTCGTATGATTTCATCCATTTTTGTATTGTCGAAGGAGGTGCTAAAAAGATTGAGCGAATTTGGTTAATACAGCTTTAGTGGTTTATGAGTTATGTGCATTACACCTGTTAGAGGACAGAGCCACGCCTTTTTTTTAAGCTTTTTTAAATCTTGTAAAAACAAATGTCACTTCCTACTACGATTCGTTGTACCAAATTACAGTTTTGTATATTAATTTGCGGCTTAATTATAGCGTTCTTTAAGGTTTAAATTAACGGCATTTTGTGGACGCGACAGTGGTCCAATTCCGCCTATCTTCAGACAGTCAAACGGGTTTCAACTCGTCTCGGCATTCTGATCATTTATATATTATGTATAACAATATCTGTCTCGTTTAGTCTTAGGTGTTACAAACAACCGTTAGGTTAACAAAGCCATTATACTTGGTAGCAACATGTTGAGAGAGTATAAAAATTGTTATTCCATCGATATATCTATACTGCTTTGTAATTGATGGTCGATTAAGTCCGATTAACTGTCAAATTAGAGAAGTTCACTTCGCTCTCTAGCTCAAGTCGGAGATGCATGTAAAATAATATTTAATCTTAATAAATGTTGTGTATTATAATTTAAATGCCCAAAATTATTATTTTGTTTAATCTGGCTACAGTGGAAAATGTTATAAAAAACGCTAATTTTGAGGCGCTCTCAGACTGGAAAGAGTTGGGCATCCCATTATCCCTGGCTCAAGTCGTGGACATAGTTGTTCTAAAGCATTATTCTTATACGATAAAGTTAGTCACCAAAATAATATATGTAGACATTTCGTCTATGAATAACGGTAGATGCTATCGATTAACCCATCGTAATACGTATACATAACACTGTTATCGTATTGTATTATCTAAATTCAACAGACTATAAAAACTACTGCAATTCATTATTAATACTAGGTTCCACAATTCACAAATTGTGTTTTCAAGAGGATTTCAATTCGGTGCGAACATAGCTCACTCACTCAACTCACTCGAATTTATTATCAGCCTGTCCACCACTGCCGCTTCGCACAATTTGCCGATAACAACAGTCGACATCCGTAGCGGTGGCATTTAAGAGTTTAACTGCTCGTTCTATTGCATCCATATTCATGTGTAAAAAGTACTTTCGTGCATTTAGCTGATAGTTGATTGTTATGAATGATTCGTCGTTTGTACAATTGGTGTAGTTAAAACCTCGACGATTGAAGAGTTCTGACACACCCTTCTCGAAAGGATCCACAAATGGCACACGACATTGAGAAGTGTAAATAAAATATTTTTGCAGCTCTTGTGTTGGTGCTGAGGATCTTGATGAAAATGTTGTTATTGCTGCTGATGTTGCTTCAGTTATTGTTGGTGAGATTGCTGTTGATACACACACATACAAATATTAATGGAGTTAGTTGGAAACAATTATTACAATTATTTTCACTATATGAATAGTTCTCAACAATATTTTTTATACCCTGAACAGAATATATTAAGTTTGTAACACACAGAAAGATACTTCGGAGATCCTATAAAATATATGGGTCATTCCATTCAAAATTTACATTCAAACATTTATTTTCGGGCATGACATTTATTTTTATATTCTTTAAAGCCAAATTTTGGACACGTACTTTTTACATATATACAGATACAATTTAAATAACAAATAATTTTTTTTTTTCAATTTCAATTCAATTTTATTGAGAAATGTTATTTATATTACATCTTTACGAAATTTAGCATACTTATATTATTATCAAGGTCAACGCTCGGACCCCTATAGCATATATATATATAGCTGCCAACAAGCGTTTATTTGTGAAGGGTATTGTTGCTTCGGTGCAACCGAAGTTAACACTTTTTTTCACAATAAAACTAAAGCTATTGTTCGTGCAAATTTTTCACAAAGCAGACCGTTATTTTGTTACAACTTGTAATAGTTTTTGTTCTAATAATAATTATATTTGTTTTGATTGCCATATATTTGTTTAATAAAACTGTACCTTCATAATTATCAACATAACGGTAATTGATAATCACAATTTTTTGTATTAATATTTTCTTCTAGCATATACCATATACATATTACTTACATTTTTGTGATTTTTTATCAGTATCTTTTGCACTCTTATCCACATAATTAATGTTGTCTATGTCGCTAAAGGATTGCCAATAAAGCAAGTGTAGTATAAAAATGATCATACAAAATATTATGATATGTTTCGATTGAATTTTTTGCTCTTTGTATGCATTATTATCTAGTAATTTATATTTTATTTTCGACATGATTGCAAGTATTTTTTAATAGGTTACATATGTACGTATATATCTTTGCCAGCTTTTCGTTTTGTAATATGTTTTCTCACGAACTTAGTTTTTGGCACTAACGCCCTGCTTGACTTCACCCTTACCTATTTATATGTCAACCTCATTGCAGCTTTTTTAAACTCTTGCAACATGTTGCTACAGAGTATAATAGTTTTGTTCACCTAACGGGTGTTTGTATCACTTAAAACTAATAGTGGTAGATATATAGTTATATACATATATATAAATGATCGGAATAACGAGCAGAGTTGAAATCCGGATGTCTGTCTGTCCGTAAAAATTCGGATATGATTATGACACTTGGTATATGCGTTCTTTGGCATCCAATGGGGGTTGGTATTGCAGATGGACTGAATCAGACCATGGCCCACAAAACGCCATTAAACGAAAATGCATAAAGTGTCATAAGCTCTACAATAAGATACAAAGCTGTTATTTGGCACTATGAAGAGCATTAGAGAGAGGCATAAGCGATTTAAAAAATGTTAAAAAGTGGGCGTGGCCCCGCCCGTTAATAGGTTTAATATACACATCTTTTAAACCACTAAGCCAAGTTCGCTCAAGAAAAATGTTTTTGGCACTCCTACCGAAAATGTGAAAGTGGATGAAATGGGTTGATAACCCCGCTCACTGCCTATATAACGGTACTAAATGCGCGATAAATCAATAATGCGTTATACACATTAAATTTCACAGCCGGAATGGTACAAGAAGGCTTTATAGGAGCCATTAGTAAAATTATGCGATAGGCGTGGCACCGCCCATATTTATCAATATTGCCCATATTATCTATTTGATCAATTTCTACCAAATTCGGTAGGTAGTATTATAAATCAGGCACGAATGAATACATCGAGATACAACTATGCACGAATAGTGCCTTTGAAGTGTGCCACCTTATGACCACAAATTGTCAAAATCGGGCTACAACTGTCCAAGCCCCCAGACACCGAATATGGAAACCCTAGTTCCAATTGCGAACTTTTTATCGAAAATCTATGAGATATATTATTGAAATACGGAAATAGTCCTTTCCTGATAATAGCATGCCTGTTTGTCAAAAATCAGTTGAATCGGATCAATACTTCCCGTAGCGCACATATAGTTTTTATATTGATTTTCGATCTTAAGATTGACTTTATATCGCATATATCGGCCAATATGTGGGTTATCTTAATTAAAATGAGCGTATTTTTCTAATAACGGTGAATCTTTGTGCAAAATTGATAAAATCATATGAAAACTTGCCCAAGTCTCCATATAACTAATATCAGGATTTTTAAACATCCGGTTGACTTTACTCCTCTTTATATTGGTGATGGTATGTCAGGTACCTTTATGAAACTCAGAGATCATCTTTTTTTGTTAATAATATGAGTATTTTAATCTCGAAAATAGATAAAATCAGGTCAATACTACCCCTGTATCCCATATACCTATCATAAGGTTTAGCTTAATATTATATCAATGGAATTGGTCAAAATATGGTCCAAACCTCACATCTCTAATATAATATAATCAATTTCGATCTTCTGGCTGACGTTTTGCACATCTAAACATATGCTATATATTGATTATATTTATCCTCTTCAGTTGAGTTTATGTCACATATATCTCTTTTGAGGATGATTTTAATATAATTTTATATAGAGTAGATCACCTATGGTCTAAATTCGTAATATACCAAATTTGATTGGAATCCATTCACGATTTCGGCGAATAATGAATGTTGAATTCTTTAGCAACTTTTATTTATTTAAGATAAAGGTATTTTCCCGTCTTGGAAAGTTCAAGAGTATGAAATGTTCGATGACACCCGAACTTAGCCTTTCCTTACTTGTTATTTCAGATTTCCTCGTCTCAATAACTCGACTTTCACTATTTTCTATTGGCTGAGTTCGCAGTTCGTTAGAAATAATATATACGGGTATTTCTTATCGCTCATATTTTTTATATTCGCGCGCAATTGTGTTGCGCGTACTGTATGGTTTCGCTCGCCGAAGAGTGTAAATATAGATGCGCCCATTTGAAAATTGGTGTTGCGCAACATTTAAAATGTTTAGAGACAATATATTTTTTTTAATATTATATATATATTTGCTGCAAGTTGAGATTCAAACTGCTTGGACTTAAACTAGTGAATAAACTATAGCTGGATACACCGAAATCTAGAAGGGCGTTCCAGGCATCACCGGAAGTTCTTGGAAAAAATATGCAACCATTTTTTTCTTCATTTGTAAATTTCATTTTTTTAAAAAGCACCAAGTATAGTTTAATATTAATATAAAATTAAACTTCTAAAAAGATGCTATAAAGAAATTGAATTTGAATTTGTTCATAGTCCCAGCAAAAATCAAATGTCTAGCATGGCATCTATACTTGTAGGTAATAAGGTAGCGCGTAAGAAAATAAATAAACTGCAATAATTTTTCGATAACTCTAAATATAAACATATGTTTTCAAAACATTTTTATTGTTGTTGTATTTTTGTTCATTTATTGTAAAACGTCAAACGTTGGGACTCTATTAGTTAAACTATTTTAAAGTTTTTAAAGTGCTTCCGAACAAGTCTTTAATTAGTTTTTCTACGGTATACACACTGTGATTCGAAAGTAAACACGGCGACATTCTCTGAAGAAACTAGAAACAATCACGCGAGATACATATATTGATAATTGTGCAAATACAACTTATGGTGCATTTTATACATAAATATGATGAAATGTTGAGGAAATTGCAAGATAAAACCACTTCAATTTAGACATGATCTTCGTATATACGCGAACTAGTATCACGTTGTCGATCAGAAATTCTGAACACGTTCTTTCAGCATATACTTGTATGTTTTTTTCATACAAACTGAACACAATGTACGGAAAACTCTTTTATTTGATCAGATACCATCACCAAATCTGGCATGAATTATTGTCCAAGACTACGTTACGAGAACAAATTGTTTACAACCGTACCTTACAAACTGATCGATCAAAATCAAGTTCTTCTATGGAATATTTTGTATTTGTGTTGGAAGATAACATTATTCTTGTTTTAATTAGTAGGTAGTCAAGTAGTCACACAGTCAAATTATACATGCTTCATTTTTAATAAGCCAAGTTAATCCCTTCTTCACTTGGGTCTTCCATGAGTCTTTATAACGTGTGTGCCTATGTACATATGTAGAATCGCATTCACCTACATATATAAAGTTGTTGAACACAAATCGATATGCATATCTTTGCAAAACGATCAACAAAAAAATCTATAAACGATATCAACACGAGCAGTAACTAACATAAGGGTACAAAAAGTAATAAATTGTGCAAAGCTGAACGTAGTTATCCTTTCGAAACCGCCTGAAACATGTTGTACAAGAGTATAATAATTTAGTTCAACTAACGGTTTTTTGCAACAGCAATTAAAATGCTCGAAATGACGAGACGAATTGAATTCGTGATGAATTAGACAACCAGTAACACGTTGTATTTGCCGTTCCCACGACAGTCGGGTCTACGTAACTGAAACTTTTGTCCGGCCAAAGACTGTCAACTCGGTAGCATTCCGCCAAATTACCTCGGGGATACAATAACAACAATGTACATGATTTTAAAATTTATAAAAAGTGGACCTCGCCTGGATGTACATAAAATGGTTGCATTTCACTATAAATTGGTATAATTTGAATTGTAGAACGGTATTGAACGGAAACGTAACATTCGGTTCTGATAATGATATACCAAACTAAAATCAGTTCAAAAAGGATCGAGATTCCAATTTTCGTTGAAATTTCAAATTTAAGAAATTACTCGACAAGTTTTCACCAGATGATAGTTTGAAAAGGGGCAAACCCGACCTAATGACCTTAAAAGTAGTTTTGGAATTTCAGCAGTTCCCCCCTTTACAAAATGCTTCCGTTATGTCGGTTAATTAATGTGAAATCTAAATAAATGTATTGCATAAAAAATGGATTAAATCGATCTATACCCATATAAGTGAGTATACGTGTGCAAGTCTTGCGATCGTTCTCTTAAGATCAATATTGTCGTCAAAGTGGTAAATTATAATTAACTTAAATTTTTTCGGAAATCATTTAATTATTATTAAATGTTCGGTTGTAGCTGTACATAGCACTTCCTTACATACATAAATATTTCATTGAAAAAGTTAAGCATGTTATCTATCATATTAATCCTTTATTGTCTGCTACTAAGGCTAAACTTATCAATAGATGGTAAATCTAGCCCTAACAAAAAGGCACAATGCAATTCACCTTAACCTGGAAACATTTCAAAAATAAACATTGTTGAGATCAGACCGCTGCAATTAAGATTAGCTACTAATATTGTGCAATAAAAAATCATTTTCTTTATTAGATGATGAGTTAGAATAACATGAAATTTCCACCTTAAAAGAGAAACAATCATAAACACAAAAAATAATAAAATACGCAGTGAAATTTAAAAAAAAAATTTAATATGGTATGAGTTATAATTATATTTAATAAGTTTATTTTTTGATGTTTGTTTCTTTATCACAATATTCCGATGTCATCTAGCGATTTGAATAATTTTAAAGTATATTTTTATCTAAAATGTGGGCGTGGTTTTTATCGATGATATCCTAAGTTAAGGCGCGGAGAGCTATTTTCGATTCGCCAAGCCTTAGAGAATACATATTCGAATAAATTATACCAGTTGTTCAAATGGATTGTCAGCACTTGTGGGTTAACATTGTGTTAAGGGGAGGAGTAGAGTGAATTCGTATAAAACAAGGCCCCCTTTTAATTATGTTTGAAGTTTTTTTTTGTAATTTTTTGTTGTTAGATATCACTAACTACATATGTCATAATATGTTGTACTATACATATCAACAGTGTGTAATATTTATTGTACTACATGAATGCAAACATAGACTACATTTTCACGACCTCAGATCGCCTGTAAATTAGTTTTATCTTATTATTTGTTATTTTATTTTTCGTTTCCGATGGGTTTCAACCTACTACGAATTTCTTTATTTTTATATCATTTCCAAAGGTTTTTGCTCTAGTCTATTAGGGAAGATATCGAAACTAAACACAGATAGATAATGTAGTGGGGAAAATTTCATTTGGGGAATTTATAGTGAAAATATCAGTAATTTTCTGAGATATTTTAATGAAATTAGGTGGATGAATTTTCAAACAATTTAGTTTTTTGCTTAGAATGAATATAATTGGTTCAGTCTTCTCTCGCCCCTATATACTCATTACAATGATTTTCGACATTCCGTTGACTCTATTATATATCGGTCAATATGTGCGGTAAATAAAACAAGAAAAAACGTTAACTGCGGTTGCATAGAAGCTATAATACCCTTTACAAATACAAAGGGTTCTCACAAGAACTCGCTTACGATCTAATTTCGTGAAGATACATATCTCGTCAAATAAAAAAGTTTTCCATGCATGCACTTTATTCTGATCGTTCAGTTAATATGGCAGCTATATGCTATAGTCATCGGATCTATACAATTTTTTCGGAGATTGCATTATTGCCTTAAATAACAATTCATGCCAAATTTCGTGAAGATACCACATCAAATGCATACAAGCACTTGAGTCCGATCGTTCAGTTTGTATTGCATATATAGTGATCCCATATCGGCCGCTAATTAGCAGCTTCTTGGTAAGAAACGGTCATATGCTAAATTTAAGATCGATATCTCAAAAACTGAGAGACTTAATATAATGTGTTCAGGGTTTAATTAAGGAGTCAAGTTTTCTTGGACCAACTTTTGTATAATGTAAATGGTTAATATCGGTTAAGCCATTCTCTAACTTCTCCATAACTATTATTTTCCCCATCTTTGGTTTATACTGTACATATCGGTGAATCAGGGAGATGTACTTCTTTGGCGTAGTGAGGTTGAATCTCAAAAACAATTCTTACCTTAATTCAAAAATAGCTCCCACTTATTTGTTTCGGTTTTGTTTAATGTCTGATGCTCCCTTTGTTAAATTGTAATTTCGAATAACAAAGAGTATAAGTATATGACATTAACCACTCTAAATCTGTTACTAGGCAATACTTTTCATTTATTTTGAGTTTAAATGATAACTTCAGGAGTAAATAGGAAAGCCATAAGAAATTTTGAGAAATCCGATTTCGAAAAACTGAACACAGTAGATATTTAAAGTATAAACATTTTGTATTTAATAACAGAGTTTTAAATAAATATCGTAATACAGGATTATTTTCGACAAATGCAGTATTTTTTTGCTTCCTTCATATCAATACAGGATGCTGTATGCTCATAGGAATCTAGACGTGATATATCCTCGACATTAATTTCGATTTTATTTGCAGTCTTATTAAAAAGAACTGTTGCTTGGAAATCCTTGAATCTTGGACGTACAAAGTACCACAATCTGTACGTTAGTTCATTATTACTTTTATTGACATTAATGCCTGTTTTTCGTAAGGCTTGATAAATATTGTTTAACTCCAGAACAGCACATTTGGTTTCAATTTTTTTACCAACGAGATATTTATTCATCTCATCAATTAGTAAGTGAGCAACACTTTTAACCTCTTTATCGTTAATTGATACAATTTCATATAACAAACAAGTACACCAGTGATCGCCAATGCCTGCATTTAGACAAGTACGATTCTCAGGAATTTCACGAAATATACTGATGCCTTGGGTAGTATCGTTTAGATAAGGGAACTCTTTTACGGGGTTTGTCAATTCCAATATATCTTTCAGTGTTGCATATATATCAAATGGTGATGTTAGTCGATTCTTATTCACCTGCAAGGCTTTCACGAATTCAGGATGCTCATTGCGATACCACTGTGGTAATGATATAAACATCATTGGTAAACGCTCTTCTAAGAAACCAGATTTTAATTTCAATAATGGACCAAAACGCATGCCGTGGTCAGCAAAAAGGAATACAATAGTACGTTGTAGAATTTTTTCATCTTTCATTCTCTCAAGATATTCCAAAATTTTCATATCCATTGCTGCTGGCATATCAAAGGAATTATGACTAAACGAATTCATCCAGAATAGTCCGAAAATGGGTTCATCGAAATAAGTAATCGAAAACTGTAGGGCATAGTCGATTATGTACTCGGCATAATGTTTGCGGCCAATGCAGTTTGGTAGATCGTCTATGTTCTCAACGCGCATATTATTTTCGATACAAATTGTAAAAGGTCGTAGATAATAGTCGGTTGGTTGTTGCGCAAATCCACTTCTTCCGAAATTAAACGTACTAATTAATGGTACATCTTCGGCGTACGCGGTTCGATAGCCATAATCTCTGAAATTATTCCAAATTAGATTGCACATTGGTTGATTGTAGCCACCGAGGGTGTTGTATTGACACTTCTTCTCGGCTGTGGTTTGATTGTATGAGGTTAAAGCTGCCATTAAATTTGGAAACGTATTATCGCCGATCTAATGATAAAAATTAAATTTTTATTAGATACGAGGTAATGAAGGCTCTTTGAATTTACCTTATTAAAACCCTTCAGCTCAACCCAGTCATTTCTCTGCAAATGCATAAAGGTTTTGGGCATAGTACGGCGTAGGTTTATTCGGGAGAGGCTATCAATACCCAACAAAAGTATGCTTGGCCTTTTTATTCCAAGTTTCGAAAATCTTTTGGCATTAAATGAATCAGTTAAATTACGATATTGTATAAATGTAAACGCGTCTTTTTGAATTATCACTTTCGTTTCGTTACCGATATAGCACTCGGTTATTATGTAGTCGATATGGCGTGGCACCAAAAAATTTTGTTGAAATCGATGGCAAGATGAAAGGCTACATTAAAGTCAATAATAAAGGCTTTAAAAGTTTAGAAAATTGGGAATGTAACAAGTCTGGAAGTCTTTCATAGAAAATGTACAAACAACCGTTAGAAGTACAAAAATAGACAACATTGAAGTTTAGATGGATCTGATAGCATACCATTTATTAATATACATAAGTGAGCTAGATTATCGATATCTTATTTGAGGGAAAGCTATTTTATTTAAAACCTTATTTATAGAACCCAAAAATGGTATATGGAATCTTTTTAATTTTTCATGATCGAAGAAAACCATACTACATTGCTGGAAATGTTCAAACTTATACGTGAAGAAAGTGTCTATGGATTACTTCGAAGAGTCTATGGATTACTTTGTACAAATTAAATTTGCGCATATTTGAACGGTTTGAGCCGATATTTATATTATATAAATTTGCGCTGGGGCCAAACAAAGAATAAAGGATACTGTGAGTGTATTCCCCATCAAAAAAGCATATTAATATTTGTATAATAATATTATCTCTTCCGCCAAACAAACACTTACTCATAACCAGAGGTAGCCAACTCATATATTCCTGACCGCTTTATTTCCCTATAACAGCAGTGCATATCTCCACTATTGACAGCGTTTGCTTTCGAAACTTCCGCCATTGCCGACATATTCATATGTAGCTTATATTGTTTAGTCTCGTTTAGATAAATTTGCTGGATGAGTGCTACATCATTTGTACAATTGAAATATGTAAACTTTTTAGGATCAAAAATGTCAAGTACTTCAGCAGAAAATGGATCCACGTAAGGTATCCTGCACTCAGATGTGAGTACGAAATAATCTATCGGTGCTATGTCGGTCGTAGTGCCATAAAAGTGGCGAGCATCGAGCGTATAGAGTATACGTATTACCAGAATTATCAAACCAATCACTATGATCTGCATTGGGTTCCAGATTACAGCCTTAATGTTCGGCCTTCGTGATGTGTTCCTATTAATTGGCAAATATATCGATTTCAACATTTTGTTTATTGTTTTATGATTAGTGTATACACAAATGAAAAAAATCCGTAAATATATTCGATCAATAGAAAAAATCAAAAATAGAAATATTTTCTTCAAAAGTTTTTTGTTTTTAAATTTTTTGTCATTGAAGTCAAGAGAAATTTTCCATAAAATTGTTGCCAACTATTCCCTACCATTCCCTTTCAAATACCTTTAGATAGATTTATTTTTAGGATGATTTATATGACACTAGATTAGTTTAACCTAACAAAATCTGAAGTCCTGAAAAAGGTTTAACTTCGCAATTTATTCTGGGAGTAAGGAAAAAGGAATCGAATTTTAAACTTTTAAATTTTATTAAAATGTATGTAGATACGTTTATTAAAAAAAATTTTAAGTTGACATTTTGATTCAAAAAGGCGGTCAACGGGCGACGATATGATTCTATTAACTGGTCCTTTCTGAAACAAAATAGATATACATACTACATAAATATTTCGTAAAATGGCGAACTAGTGAAAGAGGTTTAAATTTCGACAGTAAATTGCTTAGTACCATCGTCACTTGATATAAAAATGCAATTTTCAGAAAAACGGGTGCTAAATCTGACTGCCTCAAAGACTTTGATGCGACATCGATTTGGACAAAGAAAATATTTTTTGAATTTACGCTGTTTTACATCATTTACAAAAAAACCGATAATTGAAAAATACGAGACTGTCCTAATCCATTAAAACATGTATTTTTCATTAATGAATTCTGGATAGTTGATAAAATTCACCGCCTTTTATAAAATGTTTTAAATCGTCGTATAAAATACTCGCAATTACTCCGGATTTCCGGTGTTAACATGGCGATGATGGCTCATAATGAGCGTGTTGTAACGGGTGTGTAACGGAGGTATTACGAAATACAAGAGTAGTTAATCAAATACTCAATATTTTCCCTTAACGTGTTAATGGTGGCATAAACTATCAATTGGTATTGAACCCAATTCAGCACTTTCTTTGATTGGTTTGCGTTTCTGTTGAAATGTATGCTGAATTCGTTCTCAACCATTACTATACCATACACATTGTATTTACTCATACGATAATAGAATTTAGTAATTTAATTTTATTTAACATTTGACAGATAAGTTAGTTGCATAGGCACGACTTTTCAACACCTTAAAATACATACAATAATGCATTTTTTTAAATTTTTTAGTATTTCAAGTTTAAGTAAAGCAGAACTGTTGTACTCTTAATTGGAATTTATCTCCTTCTTTAGAAAAATAACAAAATTAAGATTTTATATTTTTTGCTGTTTGTAATTCTTTTCCGTCAAATATTATTACTACTTTAAGCTAGAAAAATAAGTACCTATATCTGGAATGAAAAATAATAGCAGACAGAGGCTCTTGTCAGATTAAACTTGGACTAAAACATGTCGTAAATACAGATTCACTCAAATAGTATTTAGAAAATATTTCAGTGATATGTGTACGTTCGAATGAGAGGGGCAAAGGTTAATAATTTCAATTTCCCCTAACTCGATGTAAGCTATTTTTTCGTACCACCATAAATAAAAATAAATTTGTACGTATATATTAGGGCTCTTAAAATTATTCGAATAACTCGAAAACTGATTATTCGGTTTGTAACCGTTCGTATGAATTTTAACCGAATAGTACTATTTGAATAGTTTCTCTGCTGCGAGTATTTGAATAAATGAAAATTGTTTGAAATGCAAGCAGCCTTTGATTTTTGGCTTTTTGTTTTTTGTTTTTGTTTTTTTGAATGAACTCTTATAATTCGAATAGTCGACAACGCACGGTTAACCGAATCGTCGAAAATGAGCGGTTAACCGAATAGTCGACAACTTACGACGATCCGGGTAGTGCAAACCGAATATTATTATTCGATTAATGCTCTATCCGGTTAGTGCTCTAGTATATGTATATTTAGTGCCGTTATACTCTTGATATATGGCAGGAGCTCGATTAACTTTTTTTCATTTGTCATAACGTGTTGAAGTAAGTGTAGAAATAAACATTCAAGCTCCAAGTGTTATTTTATTTGGAGAGTCGAGGGGTAAACATTATGTTTTTCTTTCATTTATATATTAATATTAAAAAATCCTGGAAATGATTTTGGATAAGAATAATATGAGATGACTCTCTAAAGATGTTAAAGCAATGTCTTCAACATATCGTTCATGAATATTGTTATAAGTGGTGACTACACAATCAAGCAGTGCAGAGACAGATGTCTCAAGTTAATGAATATGATGACAAAATGCTTGTAATTGCTTCTACATCCACGATATATTTCAGATCTGACCCCCGGTGAACTTTTTCTGTTCCCGTGCCCAGGGCCGCCGAGAGAAATACCGAGCCCAGGGGTTAAAAGATTGGGGCTTCTTATAAACCTTATTAACTAGCTTCACACAAAGTACTTCAAGTGCTTTTGAAGAATAAGTCAAATACGACGTAGTGTCTTATGCTTTTATCACATCTGTGTTGAACAAATTTGTTTTGTAATATTTTGAAAATCAATAATATATAAATCAGTTCATACATAGATTACAGTCAAAAATAATTTTTCAAATGATACCGAAATATGTGAATATGGGGATAGCAAGACTTAACATTTACTACGAAGACAGACAAATAAAACATTTCTTTATCGATCTAATTAATTAAAAAAAAAAGGTTCTTGGTATCTGTCGACTATTGTGATTAAGTTTTTGAACAAGCAGTTTAAAATCCTCCAATCTTCAGTGAATGCATCGATAATAGCCTGGAAATCCAATTTCTTGAGCATGATCGATGAAAGTTTTGATTCTTTCTAAAGCACTAATCGAACGTTCACCACTTGAAACAGAACCGAGTAAAGTGCAAAATATTCTCAAAGCGGAGCATATACATATATGGAAGAAGTCTCCTAGTTTTCGATTGATTGATGGTATTCAATTATTCAATAAGTTTTATGGAGTAAGGCGGGTTTCAAAATTTGCATCGTAAACGTGTCTGAGGCGTTGAGTTCATCTTCTTTCATGAAACTGTCATAGAAATGAGAACGATTTTTTTTGAATTCTATTTCTTCTTTACTGCATTTTTTATTCAATTCTTCAATTTTTTTTTCGCTGATGGTAAAATCGTCTCGACATGCTCTACATTTTGCATTCATTATAAATTGCTTTCTACTGGTCGCGCAGAAATTGCAAAAATAACTTTTGAAAACCCAAGTTTCTTTCATTGATTGACTGAAGGATTTTAAACCATTTCGAGGCTATCAGAACGAACTAAAATTTGCTCAAAAGTATATTTCAAAATTCCATCAACGTCTCGACGAGTTTCTGCCGTAAGGTTGAGTTTTTTAACTTCTTTCACAGCGTTTATCAATCCGGGAAGATTTTTCGCAAATAGCTTGACGGCATCAATTATCACAACATTTAAATAAATGTTCGAAATATTGCCTATTAAAAGCATTCTAATTTCTAAATACTCACTGAATTTTTTCGATAATATGGGCCACTTGGAGAGCTCCGGGTCCGGGGGGAATGTTTAAAGCGGTACAACGGTGCGATATACATCTATTGGTCAGTACGAAACAGAATGAGTTCCATTAAGTGTAAATAGATATCCAATTGAAGTGCATTCGTATGTAATTAACTGTTTGAGTTATAATTAAAAGGGTAATATACAAAAACATTGTGCACCACAAACAAAACTGGCAATTATTATTTGCCTGAATGTAGTGGAACGCTGGGAGGCCGATAGTATCATTGGAAGTACTTGAAATTAGAAGATATCCGTTTTCATCAGCTGCTAATTCTGGAAGTATGAATACTCGTACACTAATGAATGCTACTGCGCATACAATTGCTTGCGTACATGCCATACATTTCTATTTCTGTGTACATATACAAGGCCACAATTGTAACTTATCACAGCAGACAATCTGCAAAATCGATATATAAAGGAACTACTTGAGGTAAAACATAGTTCGCACAAAATTATTGTCGAGCCACTGATACTCTCAAAGGGGATGTAATTTGTAAGGATGACAAAATTCGTAATGAAATATTCATAGCCATTATACCGATCAAGCACTCGAGCGCTCGTTTGCGGTGACAGATGCTACTGGTGGTTATCTAAGCGGTCTCTTTGTGGCATGCGCTCTAAATAGATAATTACTTTGAAGTTGTGTATGTGTAAACTAGTACACGCAAACAAAAATACTTATTGCTTATTTGCTAACAATTATATCATGCGATCTATAGCTTACATTAGAGTACCGTAATTAAGATAAGATAGACATATTAAACAGAATTGTGGTATTATTCACAGATATTTAATTGGTTATAAAGATATTGTTTCCACTTGACCGTACCAGTATTTAGATACATGTATATATGTATATACCTATGCCACAATTACCACGATAAGCGAAATTGGCAATGCAGATAAGCAGGGATTAATTGTCTTCTAAATTATCTAGAATTTAACTTTCACAAGCAGAGTTTATTTCATTTGTCTCTTCTTAAGAGCCCAAAATTTTCTTTAATTTTTTAGAACCGTCAATAGTTTCTTTAAAGCAGCAAAGATTGGGTTACACTATAAGAAACCCAATTCGAAGATAAAATTACGTTATATGAAACCCAAAAATATTAAGAGGCAGCTTTTACTTTACATTACATTACGTCATAACATCGTAGCACGCCCTTTCATATCTACAATATTTAACACAGTGATATGTTTTCTAGCCAACCATACTGGCGGTCGTTTTTTATACCTATACATACATAGCAGCAAAGAAGGTACTCAAATGAAATTAGGTGAAGGGACACACCTAGTGTGATATTTAAAAAAAAATATATTTTCCTAATTTGAATTTTCAAAACTTCTAGAGTGATTACTCAGAGAAGAAAGATCCGATCATAATATAAATTTTTAAAGCGCCACCATTTTGTCAACTTTTTCGACATTTTGGTCATTGTAGTGACAATATCATTTAGTAGAGAATTTTGTTTACGTGTCATCCACGGAGAAATCCGGAATCACTGCAAGACTATTCTTAGCGCCGTCGGAGATCGCCCCTTCATTCACATCACTGCATCAAATCACATCACCACATTAGATCACATCGCCACAATAAATAACATCAATACATTAAATAACAAAAATTCAAAAACAAATCAACGTAGATGCATGATTTTATTACACGAAAAGGCGTACAAGAAGACCAGTACATCATATTAAATCATCACATCACAACAAAAAAATCACGCTATTTAATCTCATCACTTTACCGAACTCGTAATATTTACCTTATAAAAGAGACAACCAACTGGTACTTTATATTAAATAAAATCATATCGACTTGACCAAGTCACAAAACACATATAGTCATATCAAGCTATATACATATATCTAATGAGTCATATATAATGAGTGATATAATGTCACTATATCAACCTAACCGAGTCGACGTCTTCTTGTTATTTAGTTAGCAGCAATATACATCAATTGATAACGAATGACATCACTTGATATAAATCTACCAGCTAAGCCAAGTTTCAGCCAATCAACAACGGTTTACAGGAAACCGTTATGCTTCGTCATATGCCTTCAGCTTACGAAAAGATAAAAAAAAACCACCAAAAATAAAATTGTATACTATACTATTGTATAATACTGAATATTTATTTTCATACACTACTTGTTTTTGAGCGAATTATATGGTATTTACTGAAATATTTAAATTTATGCACTGCTAATCATATTGTTTGCTGTGTGTGTGTTTTTTTTTGACAAGCCTACATAAAGATTATATAAATATTCTTTTGATTCTACTTCATTATTGTACTTTATTAATATTATAAATGATATGAAATTATTTCTTCGATAGTTATCTCATTTGGTAGTTATAAAGAATGCTATTATACTATATACTAAATTTTTTAAAGTTTTAATTGTAGCTAGTTTAACAGAGTTATCTCTAGCAATTTATGAGAAAAAAAACTTTAGTCATGTATGATATCGTAGCGGATATTATAAATATTATCTCTATTCTATCCATCTATCACTCTCTAATATCAGAATACATAAATAGGTATGTTCCCAGAACAATATAATTCATTTAATCTACCCTTATTAAAGAGTTTTAAATGAAGTGTTTTTTACGAGTATATATTGTTTCTTAATAAATGGTGGGTAATAGTGAATCTGGTTCTGAGCCTAAAGCAAAGATTATAATAATAACGGACAAGAAAGCCAATTTGTTGCTGATTATTGACAAGCCAATTTCCTCTCTACCCTGTCGTTAGGATAATGTTCTATACAGCCCCGTTAATTAATTTTGAGCTGACATTTCGACGCTATACTGAGTGGTCAATGTAAGGCTGAGTTCAGTTTAAAACTGGTTGTACCCCTCCCATTATGTTAAACATAGACCTAGAGCTAACAGTCTAAGTCGAATAAATTTTTCAAAATAAATATATTTTAGTTTTTTTTATTAAGATTATCTTAATATTATATACATTATTATTATCTTAATCCTAAATATATATACAATGATTACGACCACTATATACTTTGCTATACTTATTACAGTGATATATTTTGATATTTCTGAAATTCTTACTAATAATCACAACCACAATGTTATATCTAATTTCTATGTTATCGTTATGGCGACATAAAATCTACACTACATGATTTTATGTAGAATTAACGAGGTGTCAGTCCTTGTGCGAATATTAATTTGTGTCTTTTTCAGTTAAGTATATAGGTATATCCGAGTATCACTGGGGCAAAACTATTCCTTTACGCAACCAGTTATCGCAGGACTAATATTTAGGTATTCAATATGAAAAACCAAGCATTTCAAAAAAGAGGATATCTCAAACCCCTACTGAAATTAACATATACAAGTAGGTAGTCTGAAGGCGTGTTATATCCAATTTTTTTGTTTCAAAATCGTTACTGAGTAATTTTTTAACTATAGCACAATATCACATTGCGGTTCCGGACTCGAAGCGTTTGAAGAGATAGTGGACTCATAACTCTCATCTCGTTCGCGTTTTTCGCGTCGCTCACGTGCGCGACGATTTTGAAACCAAATTTTAACGCGTGTATTAGTCAACTCTAAGGATTCGGCCAGCTGATTAGCTTCTTCCGCGCTCAAGTAATTGGCTGTGCGATAGGCGCTTTCCAGTGCCTCCAGTTGGGCGGGTGTGAAGGGGATGCGTGGCAAACGTCCGGGCGTGCGTTTGGCGGCCGGTTGACGTAATGTGCCTGGATAAAATAAAATTTCAACTTATTAATGCTATCAGTGACCAAAGGGATTCATTCCATACTTACGTGGCAAACGTGGCGGATGATAACGCGTATACTGTAACCAATCGAACATAGGCATTTGCGCCACACTCTCACCATTGAATGCGCCCATCGTTGCATCCACAACACCAGCGGCCATATTGGCCAACTCAACGGCTACGCCGGCTTGATAAGTCTCGTAAGCTTCGCGTTGGCGCCGGTGTTGCTGCTCCAATTTAATGCGCTCCATAATGCCAATCGAAGCATTTGTACCGACATATCTTTCGCCAGCACGATGCAGTATATAATCAATGGTAAAATCGCTCATTTTCACGGTTGCTAAAAAATACTAACCTAGTTAAAAATATGCCTCTGATCTTAACGAGTTTGCAAATTAGAGTGTACTGAAACAGTCTTTGCGAATGCTGTGCCTTTTTAAGAATCTTCGAGGATAGTAACGGCATACTTAGCTGCGCATCCATTGATTTGTATGCCATCCCTCTCTGCTTTACAGTGTTTGTAGCGGCCAGTGTTCCGACACATTATAAGATATACCTATGTAGTTACTCGAACACAAAAACAAAATAAAACAATACAGAAAAACAGTACAAAACAGCAAATTGCAACTCACTTTCAATTTAAATCCATTGAGGCATTTTTGATAGGCTAAATGGGCGTTACCCTTAGCTAAAACCACAAAGGTAAACCAACAAGTCAGGATACAGCCATAAATACAAACACACGCGCGATGAAAGGCGCTCACGTATTCAGGTAGCTGTATTTATTATCTTTCAGATTCGATTAGCACAAATTGAAATGTGGTTGGTCCGCAATGGCCACTTCAGATGCGCTCATGCAAATAATGATACAACAACGTTTTGTTATTGTTTTTATTATGTTTTTTCTACTTATTCGACTACTACTACCAGACAATTGTGCCAGACCCAGGGTTGTTGCATTGACGAGCTGGTTTTCATTCATAAATCGGGCGGAGTGCATTTGTGCGCTTGTGTGTGTGTGTGTGTGTGAGTCGAGCACTATGACGATCCTCGATGGGAAAACAAGCTGAGCGGCATATCTTAAATATTTTGATTGATATGTGATTGTTTTCGCATACACAAAATGCAAACAAAGACGACAGCTAATTCGCTAAAGTATCAATTACAGTATTTACATACAGAAACACATATACAAAGTATGGTATAAACACAAATGGTTGGTTGTGTCTGATAACATTATAACATATGTGTGGTTTGCAATATTTATACGTGTGTATGTAGTGTTGTGTGTACATATAAAGTGTTTTGTATTTTTAAACAAATATAAAAATATGTAACCGAGTTGCTAGGCCTTATATGAAGCAAGCTTTTGTATATACATACATATTATATACTCGTATATTTGCTTACACTTCTACTACTATAAAGTCAGAAGTTTTTCCATTCATGATTTCATATCGCAAAACTTCTACACAATTAATTTAAATTAATCTAATAGTTCAGTAATGAGAGAAATTGTTTGAGCGAGTGTATAAGCAGGCTAGCTGATAAGTTTCTTTGAGCTGACGCCACTAGAATTGAATAAATAGTTATGTAGTTGGAGCTCAAATTTATAAGTCGGACATATGTCATGTGAGATACAGGGTTTTAAGTGATTCAAGGGTTTGTGATTTGTAACAAACAAAAAAATAAGAGTTTCTTTAATGAAATACTATGTATGAGAAAAACGCTGCTGAAATAATGTTATGGAATTGACGAGACTAAATAAAACTAGAAACAATATAGTCTTGTTTAGAATATACAAAGATGCAAAATGCCTTTAATTTACTCAAGCTAATTAGGAACACGAAGAAAACACTGTGCAAATAGAAAATGTCTCATTGCTGTGTTAATTTAGAGTTAGAGAAATTATTTAGTCTTAAGACCAACCGGCGCTCGAGCAGGGACCAGTTTAAGTTCGGACGGCCCTATAATACAAACTAAAGCAATAAAGCCCTTTAAGAAAGTTAATGATTGCTTCGCAAAACCAACTCGTAGAAATAGATAACAAGGAATCTTTTAATTTTTTTAAATTTCATTCTTACTCAGGGACAAAATGTCCATAAATTTGTATACCCCACCTTCCTATAGTAACACAAGCTATGAACAAATCGAAAGATAAACCAAGATAGTAAACTTGCCGAAATAATTAAAATGTGAAAATTTTTTGGCAGCAACTTATGACGAAAGAATCAATATAATCTCCAGAGATTACTTCCATTTTCCTTGAACACCTTATAACCTTGTAATGATTAGAAAATAAAAATATCAATTGATATATTGTAAGTAGTAATTAACGAACTCTTCGAATACCGGCTAAACACAGACGATAACATCCTCACGAAAATATACTAATTTGCAAAACTAAATAAGACTTATTAACATAAAATATATCGTACAGAGTACGGCTAAATAAAAACAAAAATTAATGAAATTTTATAAAATAAGGCATATTATTATAAAGTCCGTAATTTTACCATTCATGATTTCATATCGCAAAATGTGTATATAATTAATTTGAATTAATCTCATAGTTCAGTAATGAGAGACATTGCTTGAGCGAACTTATTGTACCAGGGTTCGTGTAAATGGAGCGAACATTTTCTATAAGCAGGCACCACAAGAGTTGTAGTTGGATCTAACATTTAAAAGTGGGATATATGGTTCGTGATGATATCCGGAATTGTTTTAATGAGTTTTGATTGGGCTCTGCACCAGGAAAAGTAACCATTAGTAGGGGGTTTGCAAAATTCCATTCAAGCCAGCGAGGGAAGCATTCAGAAATTATCAAATTGATTTTGGAAACCCGTAAATGAAGTTTATCGAGATAACTGGTACTGTAAAGATATCAAAGCAACATGTTGGTGTATTCCACAAACCTCGAGAAAATATTTACTGAAAAGTAATTTCGTGACAATGAAAAGTAATCGTCGAAACTGAGAGCTATGATGAATAATGTCGAAACTCTATACAACGAATAACTATAAGAACTGTATGTATACATATGTATATATACATAGGATAATATACAAGTATATAATGGAGCCTGAGCCTTTGCTAAAAGTTCAGTCAGAGATTTAGAATTTGCTTATCGAGAGGAAACTCCTTTTAGACTTGGTCATGTCTGGGTTTTAGACCCCCTATCCAATAGCTGGTAGCATTAATTTAAAACTTGGCTGTGCCCAAACGTACATATGAGTACATATAAATATTCCATATGAATTCCGAAACCATTACCGAAAATTGTGAAAAGCTTCATTCATTTCTTTAGGTTCGGGTGTGAGTATGTTTGGTTGGGTTCATTTTACTAAATCCAATTGCTTGCTTCTTTTCTTTGCTATTTATAAATCTATGCTAAATATGAAATTTTGTGAAATGTTGATTGGTTTTCTGCGATCAGAATATATTGATGACTGATTAATTTAACGATCGGAGCATGTGCATGTTAACTGTGAAATAGTTTGAGGACTTTTAATATTGGCTATATTTTTACTATGGTTGCTATCTCAAGATCTGTTGCAATAATTGATAGATAGCTGGAAACACACAAAATTCCATTTCCAACATACGAAAATGCTGAGCATAAGGATTTTGTCTGGGAACATAGAGATGTTGGCTTAAGACTGATAATTGACATTAACATAATCTGTGTTATAGTTTTATTAATCTTGAAGAGGGGCGAATCGAACAAGCACCTGGTATAAATCTAATCGACATTATCAAATTAAAGCATATAAATTAATATTAACCGGTTATACCAATTTAATAAGGTATCTATATGTTATCTACTATTGATGAGTGTTTGTTACTCAGGATGAGCACTACGAAAGTAATAAAGTTATTAATTGAATAATATATAATATTATATTATATATGTCCGCGAACCAAATCGTATACCCTGTGTACAAAAAGTTACTATCGTTTATACAATATATTTAATAATATTAACATATTGTGCATATAAGGAAATACTTGTCATAATATTCGTGCAATCATTTGAACAATATACTGCTACACATATACAATATGTATATATAATTGATTAACATGACGAGCTGAGTCCGTCTGTCTCCCCGTCCATCCGTCATTCTGTATATGGTATATGCGCACTAGTCCCTCAATTTTAGGGATATCGCTCTGAAATCTTCCCCACGTTCTTTTCTCCCCGAGAAGCTGCTCATTTGTCGGAACCGTCGGTATCGGATCACTATAGCATATAGCTGCCATTCAAACTGACCGTTCAAAGTTCTTTTGTTTTTGTGAAGGGTGTTATAGCTTCAGTGTAACCGAAGTTAACGTTTTTTCTTATTTATAAACAATTCACTGCTACATTTGTTGGTCAAAATTTTAAATTTGTTAAATTTTAAAGTTTTAGAAGTACGGCATTTTCCGAAAAATTGATTTGAAGTTAAAACTTTACAAGCAAGTCTTATGTAAGTTAAGAAATCCTATTTATTTTGTTTCAAGTAGCAGGACTCCCTAGAATCGCCGTCGAGGCCTCTTGAAAAAGGTTATTGCGCAGATTGGCTCCGCAGTCGTTGTTTTCTATAAAAATGTCAATATAACTTTTTGTCCGATTTATCGTTCTTTACTTCCAGAATAAATTGTCCTTACACCTACCAACACTTAAACAAAAACCGTTACTTTGACTCTAGCAAATTCGCAATCTGCTTATCGCTTTGTCTACACTATGATAATGTCAGCCAAAAATCTTTGTTATCTAAAAGAAAGAGCCTTTGATCAGTTTTTCAAAAGCTTCTTTTTTTTAAATTTACACCCTACGGCCTAACCCTTTAAGGGGAAAGAAGCGATCAAGAAAATGCGCAGTGACTGGACAATCTGAAACCCGGTTTGAAAAAAATGAGATTTAATGAGAAATGAGATGATATTCATAAAGGTTCTAAAGAACTTTTTTGCGAGAAATAGAAATATTTCTCTAGTCAAAATATCAGATTTTTTTAATAAGTTAGTAGACCTTATGATCGCTGAAATATCTACTTTTTTAGAAAGTATAAAAAAAAACCCCTAGTCTACTATCAGATATAACCAAGTTATACCCAAAAATTAAAATTTTATTTGAATAGAGCAGTTTCTATTTTATTTCGTTTTTTCTTTCCCCTGTAAAGTTATGAAAAGTGATGTTACGTAATTTTACATTTCGTCCCCGCTATGTTTTAATTAAGTAAAAATAACAAATTAGACACTTTGAACTTAAAAATAAATAAAACTAATACTATATAATTATATATAGTAATATTAATATATATATATATATAATATATATTTATATATATATGTATAATCAAACTTTTAAGTTTTACTTCTGTTTTAACTTTGTATTGTAAGCAAAAATGCCACACTGTAAATAAATCTATATTATAATATTCAGACTTATTCGTTTATAGCGAAAGGAAAACGAATAGCGAATGTATGAATTCGTATTGATATAAGGGCATGCATGTATGCATACGCGTCACTTGTTCCGCTATAGAGTATGTGTAGATACAATAAGTCCATATACATATATATATTTGGTTATTTGTAAGTGGGCTCATTTAATATTGTGCATTCAGTTATAAAAGTGCGCTTGCGACTTAGAAACTCCAATCGAACGTTGGTGACAAGCGATTACTCCAAATTGAATTAGACAAATGACGAATGTAAAATATGTATTACTAAGTAAACATGATACTAGTGAAAATGATTTTGAACACCAAAGTCAAAGTGTTTTTGAAAAAATCTTAGCATTTGTCACGCAAAAACAATTTGCTAGAATTTTAACATTTTGTGCCGTAATTTCTACTCTTCCGCTGCTGCATACGCGATTCTACTATGATAAAACGAAACACTTTTATGAAACCACAATTCAAGTTGAAGTGGAGGAAAGTAAGAAATGATTTTGACATATATTCTAAAAAAAAAGTTTGATATTGATGTGCGTGTGTGTGTGTGTGCGTAAAATAGTGAGAAATTTTGGTATTTTCTGTGAACTTTCAAAAATATTTTAATTAAAAAAATATGTTTCTTAATGAATGAAAAACACTTCTCGTAAATTATAGTATATAACGGAGCTCGAAGAATTTTTATTTTATTCTCATGTCACGAATGAATAAAATGTTATACAACTTACATACATAGTGCATACATACACGGATATATATGAGTATATGCATATTAGTTTTATCGGCACTTGTTCCCTAACTCTGAAATAAATGGAATTTGTTTAAGTTTGAGCTCATAAAAATATGATGAAACAGGAATAATATATACATATGTACACATGTACATATGGACTTTCCGGCACACATAATCGTGACAAATTTGTGGTTTTTTTGTCTTAAAACTAAAGATTACAAAGCCTCTTTTTTAAATTACAATCCAGGCTGAAACAAACAACAACGAACCTTGACATATACATACGTATGTGTGTTTCTATGTGTAAGTAGGGCGGAAAGCAGTAGTTTCAATGTCAAAACTAATGCGGCTGGTTGAGAATTTAAAGAAATGTGTACTTGGCTTGAGTAAAAAAAAACTTAAAAACCAAAAAAAAGCGTTTGCTTAAGTTTATAGGCACTATGTATGTAATTAAATCTGATGGCTTGCCTAATATGCTAAATATAACTAGCAAAGAAAATACGTTTAATTTGCTTAACATTTATAGGTGTTGGCAAAACTTCTTATTAAACAAGTATGGAAGTTCTAAGTTCGGTTGTAACCGAACATTTTATACTCTCGCAAATTGTAAGGATTAAAGCCCGAGAAATTACTTCAGGTGTTGGCAAAAATTTATATTAAAGGAAGTATTGATCCGATTCATCCCATTTTTGACACAAAGACATACTATTATCGAGAGTTTCATTTATTTATGCTATTATGTGAATTTCAATTATATATCTTACACATTGACCGTTATTTTCGGTAAAAAGTCAATTATAGGCACTGGGGTCCACATATTCAGTAACTAGGGGCTTGAACAATTTTGCATTATTCATGTAAAGTTTAACCCCGATATAAGCATTGTTGCTTGATTTGCATAGTGGAAAGTGAAAGAATCAGATGGAATTTAAAATGGTGTTATATGGGAAATAGGCGTGGTTGTAATGCGATTTCGCCCATTTTCGCACTATGACATAGAAATATGAGGATAATGTTATGTACCGATTTGGTTGAAATCAGTTAAGCGGATCCCAAGGTATGGGTTTTCACCTAAAAGTGGGCGGTGCAACGCATTAAATTCACCAGCCCAAAATTCAAGGGTGCGTTTTCAAGGTGAGGACTCCTTATACAATTCTTACAATTGTGCATAAATTTCCTATGCTTGATATTAAATTTTTTCCTTATTAAAAAAATACTCTGACATGTCAACTTCAAATGGCTTGGAAACAAAGAATTAATTGACAGAATGAATAGTAACTTTGCGTGTGTTCTCACTACAGATGTACCTACTTGAGAAACAAAAAATTTGGAGCTAGTATTGTTATTTCTTGGTGTGAGCAGAAACTCTTTAACCAACTTGTGTAAGAGGAAAACGAAGAAAAGTTCCAAGGAATTGTTGAAACCATTACCAGTGACCTACTTTTAGGGAATCACGGGTGCAATACATTGATGAACACAGTAACAAATGAAAAAATCAATAATTGTGAAGAGTTTTTAAGTACAATGATCATAAAAAACTATATGTACACTTGATTAGGAATGATATGATTATTTTATTATAGATAATTTTGAGTTATTGTTGTTTGATTATATGTGTTTTCTAGATTTTTCTAAAGTTTATCAATAAGATTAAGTTATTTCCGGATCTGAGGCAAGTAACTACTTCACGTCACTTACCCATAGATAAAGCTATTAATGTCGTTTACTATGTACATTATAAATGAATTGTATGAAGTGATTCAAAAAATATAAAAGCAATTCAGAAGAGAGTATTAAAATAACTTCCGAAAATACTTCGTACTATACCTAGGCCGACAAGGTCGTCTGCATAGTTAAAAATAGTATTTTGTGAAAAATGTTATATTGTTATTCAATAGAGCGATATTCCGACTTTTGGATGCCAATTTTATGGTACGATTTTTCTTTTGCTTCGAAATAGGCCATATTCCCGGCTATTTTTTTCCTGGTCTTAGTAAAAGTCGCTGAGTGCCCTTTGCAGAGTTTGCACTAATATCTTTAAGGGGTCAGCTATCCCGATCAAACTCATTTAACGGTCATCCAAAATTAATTTGTGGATTTTTTAGTGTTTTTGCTCATTGCATTTCATTTTTTGTGACACGTATCGTCTTCGGTGCTTCCTCCGAAAAGAATAACTTTAGAGCCTCTTTGTTAATATAATATAATAAACTATATTGTAATGCTTAGGTATATTGCTTTTATTGAAAAATGTTTGTTTGGGATTCAATACTGTATTTTTTGATAGACGGCTTTTTCATAGCGTGTTCGAGTAGAAGCCAGCGGATCCTCAGAGAGTATTCCACAAATAATGGTCATTGTTAACTACCACGACCAAGTAATCCTATATTATAGCTTAAAAAACTAGAAAAATCGTTAACTTCGATTGCAACGAGGGTTTAATACCCTTGACAAATACAAGCTATTCCTTACATTCACTTCATTCTGATGGTTCAGTTTGTATGGCAGCTGTTTGCTGATCTAATTTTAACAATTTCTTCGGATATTGCACTACTGCTTTACAAAGTAATCCATGCAAGCATTTGATTCCGATCGTTCAGTTTGTATGGCAGCTATGGCCGATATTGGCGGTTCCGACAAATGAGCAGCTTCTTGGGGAGAAAAGAACGTTAGGAAGATTTCAGAGCGGTATCCCAAAAACTGAGGGACTAGTTCGAATACTATATACAGACGGACGGACGGACCGTAGTGGCATTAAATTGACTCAGCTCATCAATATGATCATTAATTTAAATATATTTCATAGGGGCTGCGACGTTTCCTTCTGCGCGTTACAAACTTCCAAGCAAACTTAATATATCCAGTTCAGGGAATAAAAAAGGTCACTAAGAAATTAAGTGTACACTCAAATCAAGTTGTACACTTTTGATTTCTTTGTTGGCACTTAGTGTAATAACGTTATTACAAGCATCTTTATACATAAATACATACATTATACAAAAGAGAATTCTAATAGCGTTTGCCATGTGTGATAACATCTTGTTTATTTGCTTGTTAATTATTGAAAACACTTGTTTATAATTATAACTTTTTGCGCAATAACTTTCAAATACTCCAACAACAAAACTGTTTTAAAAATAGGTCAGTGGAAATCAATGGTGAAGCTCGACAAGTATTCGAAGAAATATGAGCAGTACTAAATTTATTAAAACGTCTCTTCAAAGATATAATGAAATCAATGCATATGTCATTGAATGATTTCATCTAATATTGGTAACAATTACAATATGCTAAGCTTAGTTTGAAACACTTCACAAAAAATATTTCACCTATGATCTAAGAAATCTATATACTATTAATCTATCATATATCAACATAACGATCCCAAATTAATTTATTCTGTATACATATGCAGGCAAAGTGAATAAAAATATGTATGGCAAAATCGTCTGTATTTGAATAAAAGATCACAATAATAACACAAAATGTAATCGAAAATATTGACTGATAAAGTAGCTTATGAGTTATAGTCTTTAATATATTAATCTACAGAACCATGTCAATCTAAAAATTCACCAAATATGTTCCTCTAATGAATGTCTGTGCCAATGATTCAGTTTAATTTGCTAGAGGTTATTGGGGTCCTGGCAAGATGAGGATGTTTACAGTTATCTTACAGTTATTAAGATAAAATATAAATAATGTATAGAATGAAACTTCCAAAGTCTAAATCGAAGTAATTAATTATACACAAACTTGTATACTTATATAGCATATAGAGGGATTTATATGTAATTTATTGAAGGCATGTTTTTCTTTTTATTTTCTAGATAATATAACCACCACCGAGTCTGTTCTGAATGTGACAAATCACAACGATATATCAAAATACGAGTACTTCATACACACGTCACAATGTCGCATACCGTATGTGGAACCTTTTGGGGAGAGTGTTTTAAAAATATTTAATCCACATAAATACAAATACACCAATTGTACAAAGGATGAAGCTTTCATTACAAGCATTTACCAACTAAATGCACGAAAGTACGTTTTACACATGAATATGGATGCAATAGAACGCGCTGTTAAGCCGTTAAATGCCATTGCTACGGATGTACGCTGTTGTTATCGGCAAATCGTTAGAGCTGGAAGCGGAGGATCAGCTGATCTCAAGTATAAGTGAGTGATTTCTGCAGGCGATAGGCGATTTTATTATTTCCTTGCAATATGTATTAATTAAAAAGTTATTTATTGTCTTTTGAATTACGTACACCTATGTATAATTAAAAATTAAAATTTATTTCCAAATTTCAGTTTATTTGAATTTCACTGCTTAAAAAAATTATTTTAATTTGACTAAAAAATACCAACCATATTACTTTTACAGCCTCTTAAACTGTGTTATATTTCATCAGGACTTCTTGGTACCGAAACATATAGACTATCTAATCACGGAGTGCTACCTAGGCTCCAATGATAAAAAACCGCTACAGAAGGACGCCTTTTCATTTATACAAGCAACGAAAAAAACAAACAGCTCAGAAAGCGCTTCCGAATCCAAAGTTTCGGGTATAAGGAAGCCAAGTGTTTTGCTAATTGGTATTGACGCAGTTTCCCGTATTAATCTTCGTCGCACAATGCCACAGACGTTTAAATATCTGCAAAGAAATCAATGGGTCGAACTGTTGGGCTACAACAAAGTAAGTAAGTACATTCAGAACTTATTTATCAGATTTTTAATATACATATAGATTGTAAGTGACAGTAAGCTTCACTAGGAAGTTCAAGGTTACCCTTGGCAGTAAGGCGAAGTGGAACGATTCCACGCTGGACCTACTGCTCAGGGATAGTACTATCAAGTGGTACACGGACGGCTCGAAAACGGCGGAGGGGATTGGTGCAGAGGTCGCAGAATCAGGCACCAAGCTTTCCATTCCCATGGGAAGTTTTCCTAGCATTTTCCAAGCGGAAGTATATGCTATAAGTCGGTGTGTAGAGATAAACATCCAACGCAATATAGTCAGGCGGCTCTAAAAGCGATCTCCGCTTTTGAGGTCAAATCGCTATTAGTGCAGGAGTGCATAGAACGGCTGAACAGTCTAGCAAACCACAGTAAAATCCACCTCATTTGGGTGCCTGGTCACAGGGGTATAGCCGGAAATGAACTGGCTGAGTTGGCCCGCTCTGCAGCCTCTACAAAAATGGTAGGACCAGAACCATGCATAGCAGTTGGTCCACACACCATTAAGGAGCTGCTACGTAAAGAGAAAAGAGCGGGCAGGGAGAGATATTGGCAACATCTCCAAGGCCGGTTATCAGTTGGTTGGATCCTGGCTGACTTCCATGGTCATAAAATCCCTTAACCCAGCGAATTGTTAAGTGGGGTGGTAATTAGGAATCACTTAGTGCTCACAATGAGGCTAAATTGATCATCATTCAGGCGTTCTTTGTATCTTTGTACTTTGTAATAATCTAATCAAAACAAAAATGATAGATATACCATCTTTAAAATATAATATTGTTCTATAAAACACTTCCCATAGACCGAACGTAATTATACCGATTGTGCATGTGTGACGCCATTTCAGCATAACAAATTTATGTTAAAAATAATTTTATATACTTATTGTATTGTATAAACATATGTATTTAACCATTAAAACATATATTTTTCTACTTTAAGTAATCACTTAACATTTTGGTAACAAAAATTTGTGATTTTGCTTCATCGCTTAACATCCAAATATTGATTTAATATTAAGTTGCTTCGGCTCAATGTTCAGATTAAATTGGTAATTTTTTGCTATAACACTTTATATACGAGTATATAACTTGCTTTATTTCTAGATTGGTGATAATACCTTTCCCAACCTCATGGCACTGCTGACATCGTACAATTTAACGATGGCTGAACAGAAATGCTTGCCCAAAACTGTAGGAGGACTTAACGATCCAATTTGTAACTTTATTTGGAACAATTTTAAGCAATTTGGGTATAAAACCGCATATGCAGAGGAACCAAGTTCAATGAGCACTTTCAATTATAAAAAAAAGGGATTTAAGCGGCCACCGACCGATTATTATCTACGTCCCTTGACATTGGCAATAGAAAAAGTATTGAAAGTGACCAAAAAGGCTGGACTGTCTTACTGTGTTGGCCGCAAACACTATGGCGAATACATCTATGATTATGCTTTACAATTTGTGAATGCTTACCCAGAAGAACCGCTCTTCGGACTATTCTGGACAAATTCCTTCAGTCATAATGCCTTTGATATCGAAGCAACGATGGACGTGAAGGTGTTGGAGTATCTGGAAAAATTGAAGACAGATGGCGTACTAGAGCGTTCGATTGTGATTTTTCTTGCTGATCATGGCATTCGTTGGGGTCCATTATTGAAATTAAAATCCGGTTTCTTAGAGGAACGTTTGCCAATGTTGTTTTTATCACTACCACCGTGGTATCAAAAACAACACCCAGACTTCGTGAAAATTCTACAAATTAATCAGAAACGTTTAACGACACCTTATGATATTTATGCGACTATGAAGCATATCCTTGAAGTGGCGCAGCCAGAAAAGGTATTTTCTATTCTTAATGGCACTACACGGGGTATTAGCATTTTTCGTGAAATACCCGAAAATCGCACTTGTAATGATGCTGGCATTCCCGAGCATTGGTGTACCTGTGTACCATATGAAATTGTACCCACAAGCGATGAAGTCGCAAAACATGTAACTTTATTGGTGCTAATGGAAATCAATCAATATCTGGTTAATAAAAATATTAGCGATAAATGTGCCGAATTGAAATTAAAAACAATCGTCAGTGTGCAAATGAAAATGATCAAAGTACCGAACGAGTCTACATATCGTATAAGTTTCGAAGTGAATCCTGAAAAAGCGAGATTTCAGGCTACGGTCGCTTTTAATATACCAACAAATACTATCAAAACAGATGTGGAAGATATCTCGCGCCTGGATTCGTATGCAAAAACTTCCAATTGTATTGATTTGAAAGAGGAGAAAAAATATTGCGTTTGTAAGAAATAGCATTATTTATCATGACGATTTGAGCAAAGCTTCGAATAGCTTCAACCTCCTAAGGGGTGGAAGCAGGTTTTAAATTTGTAAATGTAAATTGTGAAATTTTAGAACCTTATTTACTAGCACTTAGTTATATTATATTTTTCATTTATATTTATTTTTGAGAAATATATATTTTGTAATACTGATAATGATTGTGCTTTGTATTTTCGTCGAGGCTAATTCCAAAGGCTTAACTAAAGTGGAAGACTTTCACATTAAAAGAAATTATACATTTGAAAAGTTTTATTGTTGGTATAACCAAACATGGTAATTTCATAATGCTACTCGATCGCTTTTACCAGCTCAGTCGGTGTAAGTTCAGGCTATATGGTATTGATACTACAGGGCCGATTTTGTTACGGTTCAGCAGCGATTCGCAAATAGAAATTGGATCCATGAGGATATTTGCTTTAACCCGTGTGGCACCCATACATCGAGCTTCTCTTTGTATCCAGCTTTATTTAAATGGTTCCAAATGGTTTTTATGCAAAGTTAAGCTTCTGAACAATCGAAATAGTATTTACATGACAGTCGGATATTTTCGACAATGGGCCTTTTAGAGCATTGTGCATCTTTGATATCCAAGTTACCGGAACTGAGTCAACAAAAAAAAAATTGCGTGTGATTTTCTCATCTTTATTAAAGAAGAATTGTAAAATATGCCATATTTTCTTTTTGCTGGTGTGTATTTTTGACGCGCGCTCAAACTATACGGAGTCAAGCAATCACAAATTGTTGAAGAAGTTTTTTATTACGAAATCTTATCTTTCAACCCAATATAACGTAATCTGACCGCATTTATACAAAGCGTGAATTACTGAAGCTATATATTGAAACAATACATAGAGATAAATTTGTAGTGATTTACTATGGCAATATTCAATATTAGTATTACTTTTGCGCCAAAAAATATGCAATGCCGGTATTAAGAAATATATTCCTTTGTTTATGCCAGAGATTAAGTCACAGAATTTTCTAAGTGAAGATAAAAAATTTATGAATCAAGGTGGTATTTACTTTAATAAGCTTCAAAATTAATTTTTACACCATTCGGTGTACAAAAGTGTAATTATTCAGTACACCAGAAGGGTGGAGCGAAAAAAAATTTTTTTTTTTGTGCTTAGCCGGAGGGTCAAATTTGTAAAAGAAGAAAATTTTTGGAAAAAAAATTTTGTTTTAACATCTAGAGGCATAACATAACACTTTTAATGTAAAGTTTCGAGTTAAAATTTTTATTTCTTAAAATTTTTTTTATAAATGTATATGTATGTAAGATATAATAGAATGTTTAATAATAATAATAAATAGAATTTTTGTTTGCAAAATTATAGACTTACGTAACCTCTTAGATGTTCATTTGAACTAAATATCTTAGATTTCAAATAGTTTTGGTTTATCCCGGGAACTATTAAAATTTTCTACTTAATTCGATGTGGAACTAATAATGTACACTTAACCCTTAATAACCTATAGTTTCAATTTTGATACCAATCTTTTAAACCGAATGTTCACATTACTATTAGTTTTTTTTTATAGATTGGCTGTACGTTTTTTACTGTTGTATAATATTCTTTCCAACGAAATTAAAAAAAAACCAAATGTCATTATTGTTTTATTTTATCTATGACATATTACTCGTACCTGCTAAAAGACCTCGGACAGGTGTAAAAGTACTACCCTCTACTGACGTGCGTTGCGATTGTATTGGTCATGAAAAAATATTTATGGATTCTAGAAATAAGTGTAAATTTAATAATTGTAGGAAACTTACCTCCTGGTTCTGTAAAAAGTGTAAAGTGTCGTTATGCGATAGTAAAACAATCAATGTTTCGCATTATTTCATGAATAGGTATATCTGATTTCTTTATGGTGTTAATGCCTGAAGTATCAAAATTGGTACCTTTTTTTTCTAAATAAATATGTAAAATAAATATTGTGATTTTTTGAGCTATTTTTTCCTTCATCTAGACCCTCAAGCCCTAATATTAAAAAAAATCACTTTCGTAAATCAGGCTACAAAGGGTTAACATAGTAGATTAACGTGCTTCTGTAAACGATTTAACATAAAAACTAAATGCGGTCTCTTGCGGACAGACCTCAACCTTCCCCTCCCTTTCGACCAATCAACAACCAGTAATATACACATTTACGAAAAGTGTTCATTTGGATACTAATTTAGCCAAGAGAGAGCACTAACACTGCCTGCTGTTCAAAGAGATGTTACTCATACGCCATGTCCCACAAATTAATTACTTACAACTAATGTTAAAATTTACTACTAAAAGTGCTCAAATGTGGTTTTTTGAGTTGAAATTAACTTTTATATGATTGAAAAATAATAGATAACTAAATCAAAATTATAATTTGTTTTGGACGCTTAGGATGAAAAATAAAAAAATTGTAAAAAAAAATTTTTATTAGAAAATGTTTATATTATCGAAACCTATTTTGTATATTTTTTAATAGTTATTATTTCCAAACACACAAATAAAAATATAACATACATTTTTGAATTTTGCGAATTAAAGACTTAGGTAAATTACGAAATTATTTATTTATTTTTACTGTTATGTGTTATGAAGTACGTCATTTATTTAATAAAGCCAGACAAATATTGAAAATAAAATTTAATATTATAATAGTGAATAACCATAAGCCATGTACAAAGTTTACTCATTACAGAAAGATTTGAGAAAAGCAAAATTTTCCAATATTAATTTGAAAATAAATTCAATAGAAAATTTTCCAAACTTCTTGTTATTTTTTTATTTATTGCGTGTGTGTCATAATCCAGTTTTCTAAATGCTAAAATACTCTTCCGAAGTTACTTGTTAATGATAATCAAACCGTGTTTGCTCTTCTTTGAACTGAAACATAGGTTGTTTAAATTATTTGCTTAACACTAAAGATTAAATATTAAAATAACAATACTTTATTCTACTTCTTTCTTCTAAAATTAATACAAATATTATGTGGAAATTGTTCTAAAATACGTCTATTATTTCACAAAGGGTAACAAATTTCAGTAAAAAAAGTATCTTAATAAATTTCAAAATACAATTTTTTTTGTCAATCTTAAAAAGTAATCTACTAATGCATCTAAATTCGTTGAATAACATTATCCTAACAACATTGTTTAGGCCACATACCGCATATGTGGACCTCAGTGCATACGGATGACTTTTACCTAAAATATCGGCCAATAAGTGAAATATATATATTATTTAAATTCAAAGAGTATTATTCTTTGATATAATGTGCCCTTGTGTCAAAAATGGGTAAAATCGATTCCATATTTTTTCTCCCCAGATACCAAACATAAGGATTTTAAAAATTTCACTTCAATGTGCCCATTCGTAAAAATGGTCCACTTGCACTAGCCCTCAAATAACTAATATAAAGCCTTTCGAACTTCCGATTGACTGTATACCGTATATATCGGTCATCATCTAAGTTATGTTCATGAAATTCAGAGACCAACGTTTTTTGGAAATAATATATCTTCATGGATAAAATCGGGTCAATACCACTTTCAGTCCCCAATCAATCCAGATCTTTCCTAGCCCCGAATTACCCAACACAGTGATTTTCGACTTTCTACGTGACTTTGAGCCTGCTATAGTAGTTTCTGACGTTAAACCGCTTCTTTAGGTTAAAATATGTAATATTTTAGTAAAATTGAATGACTATGGTTTGGCAACTATAAGGTTTAACGATAAATATGAATGAAATCGGTCCAAATCTTGGTCTAAACTCCAAACCTCATACACCTATTAATTAAATTTCGTCCTTTGGTTGAGTTTAAATCGCATATATCTCCCAATCGAAAATGTCTCAACAAAATTAAGCGATAATATTTTGATTAGTATTATGTCATTCAGTTGTAAAAATTATGTCACTAGTGTGACGAATATAACGATTTTGCCATTAATTTTCATATGTCTTTTAGGTCCAGCGCAATCAAAATATTACAAGGTGCGTTCCAAAGTAAACAGGACAAATGGTTTTATCGGCAAAATCAATTAATTTTATTCAAAATAGTCTCCTTTTGCTTTAATACAGCTTTTTGCACGGTCCAAAAGCATGTCGAACGAGTGTTTTAGCTCGTTTTTCCGAAAAGGTAGAAGTCGGACGGTGCCAAATCAGGTGAATACGGGGAGTGGTTGATTGTTAAAATGTGATTTTTGGTCAAATAATCGGCCACAAGCGTCGATCGATGAGACGGCGTATTATTGTGCAACAAACGCCAACTTCCATCTTCGCGATATTCGGGCCGAACACGTCGAATACGGCGAACCAAACGCTTCAAAACGCTTTAACGTTTTGGCCGGGTGGAACAATTTCTTTGTGGACAATACCCGTGGAATCATAAATAAAATCAGCATTGTCTTCACTTTTGACTTCTCCAGGCGCGATTTTTGAGTTTTGGCTCATTTCTCATTTATGTCCTCCTCACGACTACTTTGAAAACGTTGAAACCACTCGTGCACTCTGCTACGGGATAGGCAATCATCGCCATAAGCTTGTTTCATCAATTGAAACGTTTCGGTAAAAGTTTTACCAATTTTAAAACAAAATTTAATGTTGGCTCTTTGTTATAAGCTCATTTTCGCACCGAAGACAAAAACGTACTGACACTAAAAACGCAATAACTTCACTTCCAATAAATGAAATGTCATGAAATTTTTCGACATAGAGATGGTGCCACTAGAGTTTACTTTGCTACTTTTTTACTGTTTACTTTGGAACGCACCTTGTCCATCTATACTTTCCAATCCTGCGTACCTTACGTGGATCCCTTTTCCAAAGGAGCGCTAAAAGTGTTTAAACCAGTAAATTATAAGTACACCAACTGCACAAACCGGAAGCTATGCAGATAAGGATACCGATAGTATAATTTCACTTAATATAGAGTTATAGAGCTATCTATTCATTCTGCATGTGTATTTAGTTCCAGTATGCGCGAAAATATTTAGATAAAAGTATAAGATTAATATAATTATATAAATAGGAAATTTAAAATAATATAAAATAAATTACTATAAAGAAAAATATATTGGTTGCAGAATTTATAACATTGCAATTATTTGCAGGAGGAAAGAAAATACATATGTATATTTATGTTTTAAATAAAGAAAGTTGGAGTATT